CACTAAAGTACAATATGAATAAATAAGTGCGTAAACATTAATGGTGTAATTGTTTATTTATTGATTCAGACACTTGTTCTACTATTGATCCCATTTGAATGCATATCAGTATGATATGTTCATCGTTTTTCAGAAGACAATCAATCTCTTGTAAACAAACGGATCCTTGAATTACTTTTTGCCCAAACCTAGCCTTAAGTCCATCATGTAAACATCGATGCCCACGTAAACATCGATGCCCAGTGGGGCAAGTTATAACTTTTTGTGTTATTTTGCCTAATAATGAAAAACCTTAGATACGTGAGGAAATTATAGGCGTTAATGGAAAAGCAGTTTGAAATCGTAGCATTGCAATAATGTAGTCTAGTACGTATATAGGAAAAAGTTGTTGAAAATAGAAAACCCAAGTTTCAAGTACAGGGTTCTCCCCCAAAAAAGTTTTCAACAGGGTGCAATTTTTCAAGTCTGAAAAAACCGGCGCTCGCTACGCTTACGATGTATCCAGATTGCTGCTTATTTCACTCATTTTTCAAATCGGAAATTGAAGTGCAGGGTGCCAACTGGGGTGCTTTTGGTTTCAAGAAGGGGGGGGGGGGCGGCGGTAAAGTGACAGCGGGAGATCTCTGAAGTACAGTATAAGTATATAAGTATATGTCTTATCAATTTCGTTTCGTCATTGTGTCTTTGGAGTGGCTATAGTTGGCAGCGTTGTTTGACACTGTTATTGAAACTGCTTTTTCAGGACGGCGTTCGATATCTGTAACAAATGGTAGGTGATGACATTTGCCTTGTTTAGTAATACTCTTTTTTAGAAGAAAGTTATAACTCTAGGGTAGTAAAGTATCCAATAGTAGACCAGCTATTTCATAACTTCATTAATCAATCGGAATGCACTAATCGATGGATAAGGACCCCAACTCGACATTTTCGATTACAAATTGTAAAGCTAAATGATCTCGATTTCTCAAAATGTAAAAGATACCTAAAAAGCAATTAAGATGAAGACCATATGTTTCATAGTGTTTTCCCATGGGGAATACACATGGTATCAACTGTCTCAAACCTAACAATCTACTAGTTTAGGGACCAACATTTTATGACTAGATTTTCAGTTCCTGTTCAAATAAATGGCCAGATTGCCTAAAATCTAGTATTAAACCATATGTGGCTCATATGAGCCATTTTATACCTTTTATTTCAGTTCATAAGATATTAGCGTTTTTTGCCAATCATTGACTAACTCACTGTTATAGCAATGAACACAATGAACGGGAACCATTTGCATAACGTATTAACATGGTAAGATAGTACAGAGCATTTAGCATCCCATCGATTATTTCGGAATTATTTACGTATTTTCTGTTTAAACAAGTTTATGGATAAAAGAGGTAGATAATAAGAGACCTCTTTATCTCATGGCCATATAATAAAAGGTGCTTTTCATGATGTAAAACAAAGCATAAAACCGGCTGTAGTAGCCTACGTACAGGTAAACATCACTTTCTCATAATTTACGTGTTTGAATCAATTTACTGTAAAATGTTGATTGAGCGACTCGAGAGGAAATTGTAGAATTAGTGCCTTGGTTGTTCAATATTTATTGAACTAGTTACATTTATTGTTACATTATATCTACTCTATCTAACATGACTTTGTTCAATTCATCAATATTCTGGGTCGCTTGGTAATAAGTTAGTTTCATCGACCTTGATAACTCGCGGACATGCGCAGAACACGGAAAATGCAAGGGGGGGGGATTTCCCAAAGATGACCTTTTGTATTGGCACGTTCGATAACAAATTTTATATTTACATACCTCATTTTCCATTGAAATGAATCTCTCGATGTTCGCTGTTGTTTTATGAGTATTCTCTACAAGTTTTGATCGAGTAACTTCAATAGTATTACCGTAGTTTTGAAATGATGAAGTTGAACTGATGTTAACGCCATTTCCACGATTTCAAATTTTACTTTGCTCATGCGCGGCATTGTAAGAGCACATGATCATGATTTTTCACGTGATCACATCCTGCAATTTGATTGGACATCATGTAATGGGGAATTCCCGAATACGATAGCATATAGAAGAATAAACCCTGCCACCTTTTGGTACATTAAGGCAGCTATGATATAGTGGCTAGGCGAATGATGCCATAGGTCGCACTGTAGCATCACGTTTGTTCTGTCTGTTTTTAATTATAAAGGTTCAGGGGGAGAAAACGCTCTACCATATTTGTTCTAAAAGCATGTAGTTTTTTACGTTTTTTCGATCTTTCGCACCTGCCAATAGGCTCGTCACGTTTTTGAGACTATCCAAACTCTCAAATGTCGTCCAGTTTGGCCCCCTTCACTTTGAATTCATCACAATTTCCTTTGCTCTAACTTAGCGCATCCGTAAATCTGGCTCTTGTCAGGATAACAGTTGATATGGAACTGTCTTCGAAATTTTTCTTACGCAGATTTAAAGGACTTGTTCTCAAAGTAGGTCTTCATGCAGGATAATTCAGTTGTTCAGTTGTACAAAGCATTCTTTAGAAACAACTATGCTTAACTTTATTATCGTTTACCCAAGAAAAGCTAAAAATGAAAGTTATAGCAGTTTTATTTTATGTGTTGTGAGTTGCATTCAGTTTGGGTCACCCTGTATCTAGCCTCTTTATCACATTGTGTAATTATAATAAATAGCAAAAACAGTCACAACAATTCGCAGGAAATTAAGACAATTTTTCTGGACGTTGGATCATCGCTGGTTCTGACCTTATTCGGCACTTGTGTTGACATATTTATTTTTATTGTGAAACACTGTCCTTCATTTAATTGTTTTCATCTAGCGTTTAGATCTTTTGAAGTAGAGTGTATCGACATGTGGCTTTAAATGAAATTTGTTTTGTAAAGTTTGAACGTATTACCGATACTGGTTATCCATAAATCTATAACGCTTTAGCTATATACAAATAAACAGTAAACGACTGAACTACAGGGTCAACGGCTACGTAACAAAATCGTTTGCCCATTATAAAGATTGGATGTTCGACATTTAACTGCATTCAATAGCACCATGTTCAACTTTCATTGAAAATAAAAATTTCGTAAGATCAATAACCAATCGACATATTTCATTTGTTTGTGAAATGCCAGTGAATAAGGATATTTATGAAATCTCGTTTGAACGAGATTTAGAATTTTATGAAATATTAAAAGGTTTCAAGCAAAATTATGTTGAAATACAAATTCTAAGCAACTTAATTAATAATATTATCAAGTTTTAGTCTCAGCACCTAAATTACTACACCATGGAAAGTTTCGTTCACGGTTCAATATCAGCACCTATATTATTACACAAGGGCTCTATGTTTGAGCAGACAAAGGTTTCATTCAAGCTTTAATATCAACTACACCTAAATTGTCATTCAAGGGCTCTTTGTTTTGACAGACGAAAGTTTTATTCAGGATTGAATCTCAACATCTAAATTCTTACATCAGCTCTATTTGTTTTAGTAGACGAAAGTTTCATTAAACACCTAAGTTTTTACACCAGGGCTCTTAGTTTTAGCAGACGAAAGTTTTATTGAGGGTTAAATCTCAACACCTAAATTGCTATACCAGGGCTCTTAGTTTTAGCAGATAAAAGTTTCATTCAAGGTTGAATCTCAACACCTAAATTGCTACACAAGGGCTCTTAGTTTTAGCAGATAAAAGTTTCATTCAAGGTTAAATCTCAACACCTAAATTGCTACACCAGGGCTCTTAGTTTTAGCAGATAAAAGTTTCATTCAAGGTTAAATCTCAACACCTAAATTTTTACACCGGGGCTTTTTGTTTTAGCAGACGAAAGTTTCATTCAATCTCAACACCTAAATTGTTACACCGGGGCTATTTGCTTTAGCAGACGAAAGTTTCATTCAATCTCAACACCTAAATTGTTACATCAGCTTCCCTTTTAAGCAGACGACAGTTTCATCCAAGATTTAATATCAACACCTAAATTGTTACAACAGGTCTCCTTGTTTGACAACAAGCATAGTTTGTTTTTTTCTGATTAACGAATTAACCCTTATTGCCAAAGGCTAAGTACTAAATCAGGAAAACATATCAAATCGGATCATATTTCTGTTATTTCTGGTTGCCTGACATCAACAATATCATAATTAAAACATACTTGAAAGAACAAGACAAACAAAGGATAAACTTATTTGACACAGTAGAAATCAATAGTTCGCTAATGAAACACGAAGAAATGAAAAGTAATTTTGAGCAAAATTGCTTTGATGTAATATCGGGTAAAGCCTCATCCATCTTAGATCATACAAAAATTGAAAGCTAGGCTCTTCAAGGATGTGTAATTCGCTGTACTTTTACATTTTACGATAAAGTTTGTCAGTTTTAAATTTGACGATTCATTCTTCTTCTACATCATATATACCTCCTCACATATGAATGAATTCATTAAAGCAGCCTTGCGAATTGGGTAAATTGTAGATCATGGCGATTGGGAACGATAACATGCGAACCGAAGCGCATACTTCCTTAAGCCGTCCGAAGCTTCCCGAAACGATTCTTCCGCATACGAACACCCAAACGGTGTGCAACGTACATCTATTAATTGGAACGGATTTTACTCAAGTCCTATTCGTCAGTAAACGCAAGTTGACGTCGAGGGGCTTTAGTTCATATGTAAGGGGCCTTAATGGCAAAGCATGTCAGCTTTAATTATTCGTTACTTATATTTCATTGTTCTTTTGTATTAATAACAAAGCATGGCAGCCTCTATCTTTCAAAGCATATCAGTTTAAAATTCTACAATCCATTATTCCTCTGCTTTTAGGACAAAATATGTAGATTTTTTAAATCAGTGACGCATTTCTCCTTAGCATCAAGTACAAAGTATGTCGTCTTTCGAATTCAATTACCCATTATACCTCTGCATTCCTATAAATCTTAGGACTACACACGTCAGCTTTTAATTCATTAATTAAGCATTATTGTTCGTCTGTTTCCAGGACAAAGCCAGCTCCTAATCCAGAACTATCGGCATACACAAGGACTGGAGAAGACCAGGTTTACAAGACATGGAACTGGACGTTAGACAGCAGGCCATGCTCTCTTACCCTTAAGAAGGATAGCATGGAGCTATGGTGTAATAACCATCCTATGGAAACTACGGTTAGTAAACATGCCTTTACGGGGTGACAGGATATGTTACGGCACGTTCGGGCTAGGCGATTGGGCGCCGTAACCACGAGGTTGCGGGTTCGAGACGCGAGTTCGATGTGCTCCTTGTGTTTATTCATTTAAATATGCAAATGCGGGAGGAATATTTGTCTAAGGCATAAGATAATTTCCATTGTGATATTGATTTTATTACCTGAATAGAAGAATTCGGATATCTAATTTGATGTTATCAACAAGGAAATTCTAAATATTGTAGCATGAGGTTCATAACATATTCATGAAATAAAAATTGTTGGATTTTTAGGGAGGTATCCATATCTCGTCTGTTGTCATTGTTGACAATTTAGCTAGTTAATGAAATATGTAATTGAATAAAGCAGCTTTGAGAAGGCAGACATTGCGTGTCAGACCGAGAAAATAAATCTTGTCTTTGCGTTCAATTGGATAAAGTGTACGAAGCTAGCGACATTATTTGACAATTCGTAAACACAGACACCATTCAATATTCGTTTATTGCATTAAATAGATTTGTTCTCATACATTTTGATTTTAAACGTTTGATTTTTTTACAAATTAATATCGCTTGATTATATGAAATAAACCCACATAACTCAAAGTAATGAAGCAATCTTAAAACTCATTTTTGTACATACTTTCTCCAATCGATCTTAAATACAAATATTGGCAACAATAGCATCTAAGTTGCGGGAGTGCATATAGATTTAACCTCACTAAGATCGACATCTTCATCGCCATTAAAAATTAGAAATTGTGTTTCCCCCAAAGTTTTGCCAATGTGTCCATAGAATGTGGCACTTGTTGTATTGTACTCCTCAAAGTGACATGCACTGAATTTACGTATCATCACTTAATTAAACATTAATTAACTTCATTAAAATTACCTTTTTCAACATACCCGCCCTCTTTTGTCAGGCAGATGAAACCGAAATATATTCACTATGTTTATGATATCATAGATCGTAGGGAGCAACGTTTACAAATTGATAGCATTATGAACTTATTGCTAATTTTTAATACGAGGGTTGTCCCAGAAGTAATGCACTATATGCTCTAACTTGCTTCAATATTCTTCAATTCAGCCGAAATTTTGTGTATATAACAATCGAAGTCTTGTCTATTATATTCTGAAGTTTCAGCATCAAACATTAATATTAAGTCTTAATATGGTTGCTATAGCAACATGGGGGTAGGGGTAGGCGGGGCAGGTACCAATTTCTCTAATTATGAAAAGATCCAAAGTGTTATTTTATTAATATTTCTTTCTTTTAAATGATCAAAATGTTTGGGAAATTGTTAAATTTATTCAGCATGATGTTAAACAAGTACAAATAATGACATTTAGCACTGTGTTGTCATAATATCACAGTTCAATAGTCAAAAATTCAAATACAGTCAAAGTCAAAAAATTGCAAAAATGGCTGAAATTCTCACCTGATAACAGAAGGCCTTGCGTTTGGTGGCCTAATTTCATACTTCACTTGGACTCACAGCCATGCAAAACTTATGCTACCATGAAGAAAGTATATAAGGAGTATATACCAGATAGAACTACAATTATGAGGTGGCAGAAGAGATTTAAAAGAGATGACTTGACCCTGGATGACAACTCCAAACATGGGAGGCAAAGACTTCACAAGTCACAGTGGAAGAAATTGCCAAGAGTGTTTGACCTGACAGGCATCAAAAGTACATAACATACAAAGGGCAATATTCTGAGAAAATGTGAAATATGACACTGTGTAATATACATCCATTAAATCTCAGATGTGCTCATTGTAATTTAGTATCTTAAAATGTATTTTTGGGCATACTTCTTATAGCTACACAAAATGGTATTTGTTGATCAATTATTTCATATTTTCAATTTTTTATTCCTTTTGACGTGACTGTATAACCTGCCCCGCCCTACCCAAACTCACCTACTTGATTTTATTATAACATCAATATAGTTTTATCAGTCAACATGAAAATTTGTAGAATAATCAAAATGTCTCTAAGGAACATTTACTGAAAATTTCATGGAAAAATATTAACCATTGATAAAGTTAGAGCATAAAGTGCATTACTTCTGGGACAACCCTCGTAGAAGTATTCCTCCACCATTTCTTCTTCTTTTTCAATATGTATTCATTCATTTTATCCAAACCATTCATAGTTTTCTCCTGATGATCATTGAAAATGGTTGTGTTTTATGGAATATGGCGACGGCTTTGAGAAGGGATGATGGCCCTTTGAAACGCCTATGGGCTTTCAGACCGGATTTTTCTATCCCACATTATTTGAAAGTGATTGGACTTTTTTGTATGAAAACTCGTATTTACAGCTTTTTTCGATGTGAAATTTAAAAAGGACATTTTAAAGTTCTTTAAATTAAGTAGTATCATTATAAAGTAGATGAACATTTTGACTTAATATGTTTTGTCTCTTAACGTTTTTGTTTTTGAATGCTAATATATGTAAAGGTTATGTACTGGGAGGTTCTGGATATAGGGTGTCTCCTGAGGGATATATTTATAACTCCCCGAGTTCCCGAGGAATATACCCTGTATCCTAAACCGATCGTACATAACTGGTGTATCTCATACTTGAATGGGTTTGGGGTAGATATAACCCTTTCCACCTTTTTCAAATGACAAGATAGGTCTGTTCTGTTAAAGTACAATTCATAATTAACATTTTCGTCATATTCCTTTAGTTCAATACAATGATATTGGAACATTTGAACTTTTTTAATTCTTTAAACTTTTGAAAAATTCCATACCGGAAGCAGGATGGATATATTATATTTGCCCGCATTTGGCCTAGAGCAGGACATATTCAATATACTCTGCCCACTCCTTAGATATGATATATATTCCCGGGTGATAGTTACCCCAAACCCACTCAAGTATGGTATACTATTGTATATGATCTAATCATATGAAACTATATACACCCATATTGGTGTCAATTGCCTGATAAACATGATCAATTGATGAAATAAAGCTACTATGCAAACTGTTATACTGTATTAATAAATCATTACATTGAAATCCAATTCCAGATCAACTTTGCCGACGAGGATGATGGGACCGACATGGATTTCGCTATATTCGATCATAAATGTCGTATTAAGGTCACTCGTCAAGGAGTGCAATTGACCTCACCCCTCTTTTACGTCCTTACCGTGGATGGGTACCAAATCGATGATAGAGCTTGACGTCATTGAAGGAACATAGACCGCTTTTACCTGAAATATTTAACTGTTTCCCAGGTATACTTTACCCCTGGGATAACTGTCCCTCTGGGGCCATCTCGTTGTCATATTATGCTAGTCAGCAGATTTATAGAACAAATGGAAAACAGATATGAGAGCAGTAACTCTCAACATAATCCTTTGCGTGGTTACTTACGCATGAAGCAAAACCGAACTAAATTAACATTCAAGGATTAAGAATATTAATCGAATACGAAGATAATATAAACATTGCAGCAAAAATACAAATTTTACAGAAATTGATCCGTCCATCTAAAGCGAAGATAGGATGCCTTCATTGGTTTTAACTTAGAGAACATCTTGTATAGAAACCCTTTGTGAAATGAAGTTTGGAATATTCACATCTACATTTTAATTCGTTTATTATATAAAATATTAATTATCTGGAATATGTTTGGAACATAAGGACAACATATTTTGATTATACTTGGATGATCGTATGCTTTGCTGCCAATATCCCGATGACATATCTATGGGTTTAACAGATATCCGTCCATACTCTAAAACTGGAGCCCAAAGCTCAAGAAAAAAGTGGTGTATAAAACAACAATAATCGTCCATGACAGGGCGCACAGAGTGAACCTGCACCCATTAATTTGTCCATGAACAGTACTCATAGAGTGCACATGCACCCATTAATTTGTCCATGTACAGGACTCATAGAGTGCACATGCACCCATTAATTTGTCCATGTACAGGACTCATAGAGTGCACATGCACCCATTAATTTGTCAGTGCTGCACTTCGAACGACTCAGGATTACATTGATCCGTCCAATAGAATCTTAAATACCACACACATGGTGTGTCATATGAGTTTATTGTTTATCAGGACGTCATGTGACCATGACCATTCCCTTTCTAGACAACACACACGTGACTGGGGCGTGTGCTTTATATTATATATTATAGTCAAAAATATGGGTTACACATACATCACCGATTTGCCGAGAGTAAAAGTAAAATGTAACATTTAGGAATTATTGCATAGCGTAGATTTCATCATGTATTAGAAGAACCATGTACATATTAGGAGCGCTATTTATAATATATATATATACTAGTATAACGTTTGGACATAAGAAAATATAAATGCAATTTAAACCCCTCTGGCTACCAGTGCTGTCGTAAAGATAATTCAATCACCTAACTGTTGTTTCCTTTTTAAAGGTACTCAAAAGACAATATGAACATTATGACAGAAATAATGTAATATATCAATTCATCAATTATGAAAAACTTCAGAAATTACGTAAAAACGCAATATTTGGTCCAAACAATGAAGCAAGGTTTATTAGTTTATTTGTTTTTGTTCTTATCGATCAATCCACCAACTAAACTTGAAATTGTCCATTCTTGTGTTTTATACGTTTGTTAATAATTAATGTGATTGAAATCTATAACGGACATTAAGCTAAATTATTATGTTAGTTTTGTTTTTGTAACAATATAAAATAATTTTAGAAGCTATGCATTCTAAAAGTGGATTTTAGAAGCCACGTATGCTTATTGTGTATCTGTGTAGTGAATCGAATAAACTGTGTGCAATGGACCATGTTCAGGAGCAGTTTAACTTTTGAATAAAATTTAGATAAAAGGTGAAATTTAACCAGAAAAATTGTTTTGGAAGTTAGCAAAAAGTCCACAAAGTTTGTATCCAAATATATATATTATTAAACATAGAACAGATTTTGGAAGTGCAAAGCGAAAAATTACCTTTATAGTCAGATAAAAGTTGAAACTTTGCATTTTATCCAAACAATGATATTATTGAAAAAGGACAGGTTTTGGATGTAAAAAGTAAGAATTTAAAATCTTATCCAAAATAACGATATTATTAAACACAAGAAAAAGCAAGAATTTTAAGTTTCCTCCTTGAATTATTTGATTACATAATAGGTTCTACATATATATAGTACCTCAGGTAAACTGTATGCCTGTACCTCCTTCATATGATATAACCGTGCATTACACAACATTCTCAAATTGACTCAAATTTTTGTCTCCAATATAAACCAATTGGATATAGTCTGTTGCACATTTTATCGAATCTTATGTATACTGTTTAACTTTAAATAAAATATGTTGAAATATAAATATATAAAATTTAAAAATGACAGCACACTTGTCATATTGTATTGTTCCATGTGTCTTGATGTCGTTTTTGTTTTAACTTTGACGGAACGTCAATGCAACAAAATGGATGAACTTCCTGGTTACGATTTTTTTGTTTTCTCGATTTAAACCTACCTTTAAGTCAAGTTGCAGATTATTTATTCTGCACAAAGCTTGAAAATATAGTCTTGCTTTAACAAGTTTCTTCGATTTGGAATTTGTTTTGTTAATGAAGTTGCAATCCATATATTTAGTACCTCGCTTTTGTTACATTGATGAAAGTCCATTATATTACCAATGTATGTTACTTTGACGACTTACGTCAATGTAACAAAAGCAATAGTCTAAATGCATAAATTACAGCTTTATTTAAACAATCAAATTCCGAACCGAGAGCATTTCTTAAAGGTATACTATATTGTCTAACGTTGCGCCTACCGCAACTTGACTTATAAGTAGGTTTAAATCGAGAAAACCAAAAAATGTATCCAGGATGTTCATCCATTTTCCATTGACGTTCCGTCAAAGTAACTAGTATTGGAACAGTGTTCATAAGAACTGCTTTGGACAAAAATTGGCCAGTGCATAAGTGGCAACGATTTTGGAGCTGTAGATAGCTTTCTGAAGAGAATTCATCTTTAGCCCAATTCCAAACCCCTAAAGGAGGCGTCCACAGTTTATATATTTCGATGGGTAAAAACGTAGGATCATCCTAGAATAAGAACAATTAATGTCAAATCGGTTAGAAAGTAGTGATGACTTTAATGTTGAGTGCAAACATCGTTTAACTCTCAATGTTAAAAATCCGCACTGTCCGTGATTGGCCGACAGCATTTGACTTATGATTGACTGCTTGATCAACTATTCATCTTGAGATTAGGTAAGTCGTAAATTTCTTTTTGAAGGAATCTCAAAAACTAATTACCAAAGTGCAAGCTTTAGTGATATTTTAAGATCTTATGTTCAACACGATTGCGTCGATGCTAGATGACATAGCACTATTCTTATGATATGGGTAACAGTGTTATCTTTTTAGGGAGCTTCGTTCTTGAATAAAACAATGCAATGAAACATTTGTCGAATTAATTGCCCAACACAAACAAGGGTTAGTAGTAATAGAAACTTCACTTGCTATTGTCAAAATATGGATACAAAGGGGAATTTAGCAAATGACTGTGTGGGAACATCAACGATAGAATATGATCCTAATGACTACGCAAGGATTAACAAATTGGTTAGTGACGTGATCTGTAAAGTACAAAAATTCAAATACACACACAACACAAACATTCGACTATGGACACGCGTATTTTTAGTCTTGGCATACTCTGTGTATTTTGGATACGCAATCTTTTTGGATTTCCACAAGAATGTCGTTCTATTAGGACTTACGGCTGGATTTGTTGGGATTTTTGTTCTGCATATTCTTCATAGCCTATTTTCGGGATGTTTCATTCGTTGGTGTCATCGACTTCAAAAAAGGTTTCACGAATGCATTGGATACACTCAACGTCGCAGGTAATGATAACAAGGCCCCAGGCCCTATCCCCTCCCCTAAAACAACATTTAGTGAATCTTGAATACACTATTTAGTCACGTGTTTTAAACCTCTTTAAAGTTCAAAGGATCAAACGATAAGCCGTATGGATAAAATAAAAATGCATTTTCTTTTTGTTTTAGCTTTTTATAATTCATAACAGTTGAATAATATTGTGAATTAAAAAGTGCATGAAATTGAGATAAGAAGATAACTAGTCTTTTCTGCATGGCCTGATGTGTTGGATTGTGACTATGGTTTCTGGGTGGAGGGAACTGGGGGGGGGGGGGGTGCTTGACTCTCATTCCTTGTACATTTAACCATATTTTGGGACATTAGGGATTCGTTCCCTTATGGCAAAATATGTACTTATAGATATTCGTTTTCTGTCTGTTTTAATACTCTTTCAGTATTCACCCTTATGGCACTTTCGCATACTATGTATATTTCCAGATTGATAGTATCTCTAAAAGTACTTACTGTATTAGTGATACTTGGCGTCACTTTCGTGGACGTCTGGCAAACACCCCTGAAGATTGTGTCCTTATTTGGAATAATGATGATTCTCGGAATTGGAGTATTGTTTTCACACAATAAAGTCATGGTGTGTTAAACCCCTTAATGTCAACAGGTCGATCTAAATGTAATCTATAATCGTTTAACCTTTCCAGTAAATTTTTTGAACTAACTAGGAAACTAGGTATATATTAGATTTACGATGTCAAAGCCTACTTTTAGATTGCGTTTTTGAATTACCCGCAGGAGAGTGCATTGCAAAATATATCATAAGTTACCCTTATGTATCAAGAAAAAGAACAATGAGCCCATGCGATGCAAATTACACATTCACACGTTTTTAACAAAAAAGCAGTTGATTCAAGCGCACTTACACCGCTAATAACGGTGTGTCAAACTTGTCGGTTAACAGCGTATGTCAACTGCGCCGGCTTGTTGCTAGTACACCACAGGAGTTCGATTGTAAAAAACCGTAATGTCTTTCAAAAATTTAATATGAGTGTTAGTGTGCTCGGATAAGTTTTTTTGTTGTTGAAAACATGCGACCATGTAATTTCCGCTACGGGGCCTTTTGTTCTTATTCTTGATACCTGGGGGAAAATCTCACCAATTACGCAATGCACCACCGCCGCGGGGAATTAAAAAAACAGCATTAGACCGCGTTTTTGAACTACCCGTTGGGAGTGCATTGTATACTAAATAATAAGTATTCCCTCTAGGTATCACGAAAAAGAACTATGAGCCCATGCGATGCAAATTACATGCTCACACGTTTTCAACAAAAACAGTTCATCCAAGCGCACTAGCTCACACCGCTAATTACAATGTGTTAAACTTGTTGGTTAACAGCGTACGTCAACTGCGCCGGCGTGTTGCAATTGCTAGTGCACCACAGGAGTTCGATTGCAATAAATCGTGATGTCTCTCAAAAGGTTTATGTGAGTGTTAGTGCGCTCGGAAAACATACGACCATGAAATTTGCGCTACAGGGCTTTTTGTTCTTTTTTTGATACCTGGGGGGAAATATCATTACCTATTACGCAATGCACCACTTGTAACAAGAATTTGTAACAAGATTTACACCCCAGTCACATTTGTCGTACGGAGGCCGTGCGTCGACCGCAGATCAATTAAATCAGTGTTTTTCTGCGGCGAGCGTAGGAAAACTACGCTCGCCTTGCGGCCTCCGTACGGCGTATCCAGTTTTTTACAGGCCGCAGGGTCGCCGTAGAAATTATAACTCGGAGATATACTATTTGTTCATTTTTGAGGTCCCCGTAGAAATCAACTGACTCAACAAGATTGAATCATTATTTGTCAATGTTTCACGATCACTTTTCATTTGATATTACATCCTAGCACTATGAATAACATTTATAAATTGTCCCGATGTAAATAAAATGAAAAAGTATTATTTATCAACAGAAATTTAAAGTTCACCGTGCGGCTGCCGTGGGAAATGTGACTGCAAAAGTATGAGAGCGCAGAAATTCCACGGCGAGCGTAGAAATGTTACTGGCCGCAGAAATGATAGACCGCAAGGTCGCCGTTAGAAATGTGACTGGGGTGTTAGCAAATTAGCAAAAGCTTATACTTTTTTTTATCTACCCTGTAACATATCTGAACCGAAAGATGACAAAATTACTGAGTTGGTCCCTTTCTGATAATATTGATAGTATTTAACTATTAAAGGATTCGTAATAAATCAATGTAATAAAAAACTTAAAGGCTAACGTTTACAATATATAATGGACACACACATATTTGAGAATGAATTAGATTAATGTAATTAACATATTCCATTTGTTAGTTGCTTCATGTAGTTTCGGTAAGTGGTCAAACAGAAATGTACTTCCTTCATTGAATTTAGGACTTTGTGAAATATGATATTCTCATTTTGTATTTATATTATCAAGATTAACAGTTAATTGAATTTACAACAGAGTTTACATTTGTTAAATGTATATTCAATAATCTAGATAAGATGGGACATCGTTTACTCTGGTGTGCTGCTACAGTTTCTAATCGGTTTGCTGTTACTCCGCTGGAAGACTGGCTCAGATGCAATGTCTGCGTTTTCTGGAGAAATCACGCGTTTTCTCGCGTATTCGAGAGCTGGACTAATTGGTGTGTTTGGAGAGTCATGGACGGATCATTTTATTTTTCGCGTAAGTAAGTTATCAAAAAACTGATGTTTACCTTATGGAGCTTGGAAATACATTCTTGCTCTTTTTGAATCAACTTGAAGACACTTAAGGTATATTGCAGAAGTGAGTAGCTCCCACAATTATTTGGTATCACTTGGTATCATGGACTTCCCCCTTGCTTCCCTCCATGGTCCTACATTTATCAGATGACATCCAAAATGGCGGATAACGGTTGGATCCCTTTGTGGTTCTAGGGGTCTTATATGGACCTATCACGTGGATACCACGTGACCCAATATCAACTCTTTGGGAAATCTCCTCCCCTTGGTTTAAGTTAATCATATTTCTACATCTGTTTTGCTGTATTAGTATTGGCTAGATGTATGATGACATACTTTGCAATAAGCAATGGTTGTCAGCAAAAAGGAAAAATGAGATCATCGTTAAAACAACATGACATGTTTTTTTAAACCCCTTTTTGTGAACCAAAGAAACTAGAGCATGTTTGGTAGATTTATGATATCATATTAAAGCCCACTATGACTGCGAAAAATTGTATGAAGTTGTTGAAGATAAGTGATACACAAATTGAGTTAATATTTCTGTTCTGAAACTGGGGGAAACTTCTAAATGACATCATAACACAAAGCATGTATGATTCCCAGAGTAAAGGTTTATTGGACCGATCATGGATGATTTTTATGTGTTTGTAATGTACTTTAAGAAATTCAATATTCCAATCAACAAATCAGCAAATAATGTACACCTGTAGCTAATGTATTAGTGTATGTTCTATTGTTTTGAGATTGTTTTGATAAAGTTAACGTTGTGGTTTTGAGGATCAATTTATTTACTTTGGATAGAAACATGTAAAGAGGATTTTACAATTCAGCATTGATTTCCTCGATTTAAGAGCGTCTGCTTTGAGAATGGATGTCGACCCTTTGATACGCTTACAGGCCAGTCAGGTTCGATTTGTGTGTGGGGGGTGGGCGGGGGGGGGGTGGAGGGGCACTGCTCCTTATGAACTTCAAGACTAGATTTTGTTTGCTCCAGATCTTTATTTTATGAATATTATTTCTAGTATCTACTTTTTTGATGTTATTAATATGTGGCTTTCAATTTTAAATTTATTCTTAAACATATATTGTAATGATTTTAGTATGAATGAAAGTTCCCTTCTTGTTATGGTCTCGGATTGTGACATTCTTACTTGAATTGTCGGGGAAGAGCTATATGCTATTGTTACTTTCACGTTGGATTTGGGATAGTTGGTTTTTTTTTTCCTCATGAGTCATGATCTGTGTTCTCTTGGATATCTTTTTCTGTTCTGTAACAATTATTTGTACTCTAGTTGGCACTACCTTACGCTACATACTAGTTGACAGGGTCTCAAATTTTAATGAGATTTTTTCGTAGTTTTCAAAGTCATTTCAGGAAAATGAGCAAATCACTTTTGTAATCAACAGCATACCTTATTTCCCATGAGTTAACTCACTTAAATCAACTGGGAAATTTGGGAATACTCAAGTTGAGGACTCCATTCTTTAAACTAAACTAACTTTTCTGGACTCCCTCTCTGAACTTGACATTTAAGAGCAATCGACAGCCATTTTTTCTTAATACCGAGGATGACAAAGCCAACTTATTTTGTGTAAATTGGATGTCTCTTCTTCCGTCATTTTTATTACATTCATATCAATATGTTCACTCGATCTATTTCAGATTGTTGGAACAGCCACATTCTTTGCTGCTGTGAACGCTACATTGTACCATTTTGGTGTGATGCAGGCATGTATTAAGGTGATTGGTGGCCTCATTGCAGCTGTTGTACCCGTCGTTCCGGCTGAGGCGTTTGTGGCTACCGCTAACATATTCCTAGGGACGGTAAGTCAAAGAGGGTCGAAGCCATCATGAGGTTAATAATTAGGTATAGGGGAGGCAAAGCACACAAGGGAAACATATTTTTTGGTGAGGTATTTGCCTCTCTTGCCTCACACCTGGCTAGTCCTATGGACATACACTCCCCTCCATAAGTTTGGCAACCCTCGCTCCCCCATTGAACTACGTGTTAAAGCCTCTTTACGTTTGAATTTTTATTTACTTAACATGCGATGAAAATACTTAATATACTATTGATGAAAACATAATTTGACTTTATTTCCAATACCTCCAAATTTTTTCAATTTTTTTCCTCAATTACAATAAGTCGAAAATTGATGATAAATTTGATGAATTTTTGGAAATCGACATTCCCATGTATTTCAATGGGAAATGGAGGGTTAATTTATTTTTTGTTTCTGTAAAAGTACATGTATGACCAGAATGATGTACTTTTCATACATGTGTCGAACTTTGAGACAAATTTTACTTCTACCATTTGCTCTCAAAAAATAAATTCAAACTGAAGTTTGAAAACGCTCCATCATCATCGAGAGAGTAATTCCAAACTACATGAAGATGATTTTAATTTCTGTGTCATCCTTTATATTCCTTGTTTTTTAGACTGGTTCAGCGATGACAGTGCTATCCTTACTCGACGATATGACCATTTCGGAGCTTCATGTTGTACTGACGTGTGGACTGGCCTCCATATCTGGGGGAGGGATGGCTATGTTCATCTCAATTGGGGTAATTTGAATGACAGAATTCATCTCATACCCTGATAATAGTCCATGATTGACATTGCGTGCATGTGTTTGTTCGGTTTAGTGTCAGCTCTACATAATGCGTCGAGTTTGTCGTTTTATATGTTTTCAATTATACCCATTGACATAAGATTATATATGTTTGGGCCCAATCACACAGTGAGCACTAATATAATCGTATTTATATAGGACTGTATCTAGTTTTAGGAATTGGTGAAAGTCATTCTAAATTAAAAAATAGAGGAATGAAAAATGATTTACCTCTTTTTCGTTAACGTAATGACTATCTGCTACATTTTCGTTCGGTTCACTTATTCATCCCGGGCATATAGTTTTTTTTATCATAGGTCCCCGGAAGCAGTTTGATTGGTGCATCTATGATGTCTGCACCTGCGGCACTAGTAATGTCCAAGCTTCTGCGACCAGAAACAAAAAGATCACGTATACAGGCAATAAAGGAAATATGTTACTTCAAAGAGTACGTACACGAAAATGTATTTTCTGAGCATAATATGTAAATGGATGGTTTTTGAAAAAAAGTGACCGATTAGACGAGGAAAATATTGAACTTCTTGCAAATCATGTGACGAATTTGCCATAAATACCTGCTAATTTTACTCGGCCTTTGCTGATGTGAAATATACTACTACTAAGTTAAGGTCCACCACCACTTTTTAATTTTCTCTTAACTTTTTTCCCGTAGTTAATAGTTTCTTGTTCTTTCGCATTTTATTCATCTAGATGGTGTTTTTATTAGAAGACAACAATTTAACATGCGTTGAGAACTTAGACGTGTGGTCCTTAGCCTTTTTGAGTAGTATATTAGTCAATTACAAATTAAATTAACAAAGGAACAACATGCACTTAATTTCTTTTCTTTCAAAGTATGTAGGTCACGAGTCCCAATTATCTAAATCTATGATCTTACGTACAAAAAGCAATGTATAATCCCCCCGCTACACCATTTGGGAATCATTACCATAAACTTAAAACAACACCATGGAAAATTTTAGTACATTAATTTAAAAAAAGTTATGAATATATTTTTGAACTTGTGCAATAATGTTATGTTACCAATACACCATAATATGTATAAACCCCCGGTATGAGCAACGGTTCATTTTCGGTTAACAAGTCACTAGTTTATGATGTCAGAGATGTGAGTAAATAGATCGAATAAAAGTATAATCCATATATGGGTACGTTGATGACATCATTATGCAAAAGTAGAATCATTGATCTCCTATAAAGCTTACGGCCATCTTCTGGTATAATAGTACTATAATATTAATTTTTATTTGTGCCATGTCTTTCTCGGAGCCCAATCACTCTACTATACCTAATCCCTAGAAATGCATAAGATACTCTGTTTGTCTAATTGTATTGTTTAGTATATTTTTGAAAGTAATTTATTAACATCTAACAGTCATCCGATAATAAACCATTAATAAGGAACAGACAAATAAAAACAAATAACATAATCATTACTAATAAGCCTAATGGGATGCTCATGAACACAAAATGCAAGGTTTAGTAAAGTGCCAATGTTGACACAGAATTCAACATGTGCACCTCCCTCCAAACATTGGGAAACATCGATTAATCATATGTACATATTTCATGAAGAGTTTGACAATGCCGACTATGCATTTGAAAGGTTGCTAACTGCTAAAATAGCAACCATGTCTTGCTCGTATGGATCCTATGTTGACACAGAATTCAACATGTACACCTCCCTCCAAACATTGAGAAACATCAATTAATCATATGTACATATTTCATGAAGAGTTTGACAATGCCGACTATGCATTTGAAAGGTTGCTAACTGCTAAAATAGCAACCATGTCTTGCTCGTATGGATTCTATGTTGACACAGAATTCAACATGTACACCTCTCTCCAAACATTGAGAAACATCAATTAATCATATGTACATATTTCATTAAGAGTTTGACAATGCCAACTAAGCATTTGAAAGGTTGCTAACTGCTAAAATAGCAACCATGTCTTGCTTGTATGGATCCTATGTTGACACAGAATTCAACATGTACACCTCCCTCCAAACATTGGGAAACATCGATGTACATATTTCATTAAGAGTTTGACAATGCCGACTATCCATTGGATAAGGTGCTAACTGCTAAAAACTGTTTATTTTTCCCACTTGTATTTGTGATAGGTTTGGTATTTCTGTTCTAATGAACTTTTAACACACAGTCTATTGAAGGAGTTGTGATTTCCACAATTATAGAGCGGAGTGTACGATCAAAGGAAATGTTATCCGGTACAATTTTCTAACTAGAATTATAACTAAAAACTCGTTTGTATTATGAAAGAAGGTATACCCTCTAAATTCATCGCCTAAAATTGCAGTTCTCTTTCAGTCAAGAACATATGAATGTTTGGGATGTTTTATCAAACTTGTATTGCGTAGCAGTTATCATGGAAAATAAACTTAATTGTTTCAAGCGTTGCGTCACAAGATACCTTTAATAATGGCCATGTTGGTCGACTTCATATCATATAAACAATGCAGCATCAAAAACTATAACCAGTCTCTCGTTATACAAAACCACGTATCTAACAATTGTATCCTCCAAAACATGTTTTTGTCATTACAGAGAGGTACAAAATTTGCTCCATGCGATTATAATTGCCGTTGGTCGCATACCACGTTTGCTTGGTCAAATCGTTGCAACCCTCATAGGATTCGTAGCCATGCGCCAATTCTTAAACGAGGCTATGAAATGGACGGGGGGCAGAATTGGAATCGAAGGTCTCAATTTTGAGGTAGGTTGTTGCACTTTGGAGTCATGATTCGCTGTTTTTTAATTCTCCCTCGGATCACATATGGGCATTGTAATCTAGCTTGGAGGAAATGTAGAATGTCACTCCGGCGACTTGTTGGTGATTTTGAAGTTGTGCATATACTTTACAGTTCAAAATCAACTTCTATAGCAATTTGACACCACCTTCTAAATTGCCTCACTGACCTTTTATTGTTCCTCAAAACACATTCTCTCAAAATCAGGAAATGGGGTGATAAGCCGCGAAATTATGTAAGGAACTTCAATCACAAAAAATAACGAGTGGCAACTTACACTTCCTCTGAGTGTAGTTATTTTCAATTGTGAATATAAGATGCTTTTTAAAAAAGAGATTGACCTCGTGGAATAGATTCGAGTCATAAAACTGACCACGCTTTGAAAGGGATTCCCTGATTTTGCACTTTTATTTTTTGCAGACAATCTGTGCATATTTGTTCAGTCCGTTGGCGCTTATGATTGGAGTTGACGTTCCGGATGTCGTCGAAGTTGGGAACATCCTAGGCACGTCAACGATCCTCAGTGGCCTGGTCGCGTTTGTGAAAATATCTGACTTAATTAAAAATCGCATTGAGGGTAAAGAGCCCTATCTTAGCGTATGTGTAATTTTGATTTATAGATTGCTCAATCTTGTAGACTGTAGGAATTGAGTCCCTTTACTGTAAACCGATACCTGGTCTGATTACATGGTCAATTGAATTCTACAAAAGTCAATATAAATTGTACAGTATATTGAATACTTTAAGGAAACGATGGGTTCAAAGCAAGTTGCGATAAAATGACATTGTTTGCTCTCTTTCCAAGTCGTGCCTATTTATCAAAAGACAAGTCCCTTTGAATTCTATCAGGACAGTCTCATGATTTTAAGTGGACTTTCACTTCAAATACATTTGGAAATTTCTACATCTTTAAATTGAAATCTTCAATACCTTTTGTTGATTGATCATATTTCTCTGAAATTAGGATTGTCTATCGAAAAATATGACAATTTTTGAAAATATTGCTGTCAAGATATTACACTTTTTACTCATTAAGACTCTATATAATTTTGTCAGTCTAACCTCTCCCTTATTTCTTTTTATAATTTTATCCCTTTGTGTATCTATCTCATTGTAGCCTCGTTCTGAGATTTTGGGAACCTACGCCATTTGTAACATGGCAAGTATCACTGGTTTGGCAATTAACATAGCAACCGTGGGATCTCTTGCACCCAGAAGGAAAGGTCAGAAAATCTGAAAATTTGTTGCTCATGTAGTGTTCGATATCTAAATTCCTATGAGATACACGAAATTTACTTTGTTCGATGTTAAGGTATTTAAGCACAATTATGTACGCCACTTGCTCACAATCTAGGATGCGTTTTCTATCCGCCAAAGTTTTTAAAGAATTTCAGCATTGCATCAATGGAAATTTGGCCCAAGTTTTTTTAAAAAGTCATGGAAAATTATTAAGATGACATAACTGTATAAATCTAAGTTATTATAAATCCAAGTTATTATTGTAGAAAAAGGTTTACTGAATTCAAAGAAGGAAAAGTAAGTCATTGGAGGTTTGATATGCACATCTCACGAAAAACGAGAATTAGCGAGATTTCAAAGCAATATAGATACTCCTCTATCAGGTGTTAACCCTTATTCACTCATCATGTGCTTACATCAAAATTGGGAATCTGCGATTTTGAGAGCTTCAAAAACAATGCATTATTGCGTCCGTATGTTATGTATTAATTAACACACAGTCTAACAGTAATTGATATTTTAATTCCAGAGGACATTTCAAAGATTGCGCTTAGTTCGTTTGTGGCTGCATGTCTTGCATGTTTGATGACTGCTTCCGTCGCAGGTAACAAAATCACACTTTCATACCATCCCCAGGGGCGGATCTGGGAACCAACAAGGGGGGGGGGGGCCCAAATTTGAAGTCAGAGAAAAAACGTTCGCTCTTGCGCGGAAAAAAATTTAGGACTTTGAGGCCCATTTTCTTCAAAATTTGACCTGAAATTAAAAAATAAGGCCTTAAAAGGCCCAGTAATGACCAAAAAGGTCCACTTTTTCGGGCTTGGAGGCCTTTTTTGGCCCAAATTTTTTTTGGGCCCCCTAATCCGCCAGTGATCCCTCAATAGTTTGGAAACCGGAATATTTATTAGAAAGCTAATATCAAAGCATGTCGATGTATGGATCTTAATTTTGTTCTTTGATTACTGCAGTTCGGAAATTTATAGCAAATTTGATGATTTGTTTGAATAACATATAACTGCAAAAATAGTATTTGATAAGTTATCCAAAAGAAAGCTGTCAAACTTATGGAGAGGAGTATACTTGTAAGGCGCAGTAGCCATACGTAATGATAGTAATACTATTGTTTAAATAACGTATTACTATTTCATCTGAAGTTCAGACGATTTTGATACATTCTGGAAATTAGAATATGGAACATGCCTATTTTGTTGATTTAAAGTCCCGTTTCGATTAATGTTTCAATTACACAAAAACACGACTTTTTGACTTAGTTCACTAAAATCCCTTGCAAAATATTATGAACTTAACAGCAAGAGACTGAGAGCCTGTACAGAACGTGCTAGTCGTTTTCCCGAGAAAGAGCTCAATATCCCCTTACTATTATAAACAGACAGCATAACAAAAATTGGTTTATTCTAAAATCTCAAATGAATACACGATGACTATTTTCTATTTTCAGGAGTGCTGTACCAAGAATCCGACATTTAATTTAAGTATTAACTAATCTTTTGGATACAATAAATATTTCGCAAAAAGACCCCTGAGGAATAACAGCATTAATGAACTCAAAAAGACGTAGATTTTCAACAATAGTCTCGAGAGTGATGGCAACATTATACACACATAGTTTGGCATTATATATCACTTTCTGAAATTAGTATACATGTATATAATCATTCTTTATATTTTACAACGGATGGAAAATTCATAAATGAATTATGGAACATTTATGGAACATTATGACTTCAAATTTTATTTTGGCCATTGCTAAAGACATTTACAATGAACAGAATCCGATTTTCGGTTATATAGTGCGCCAAAGGCAAAACAATGTCGGCCTTTATTCCTCAAATATGATACAATGGTGCATACTGTAAAATGAGAAAAAACATTGAATGGGAGAACGCTCTCTTTTCAAGTGAACAACCGTATTGGAACTGGTTTTAGGTTTAAAGGTTTTTATTATCGTATTAATCAAAACCATGTTACATACAGAGCAAGGGCCGAAGTAATGCATTGAAACCGGTTGGACCTACAGTCTTGGTTAAAGATGAGCTACAATAAACTCATGATATATTCCACATACAAAGCACTCAATCCCGTGTTTAATCATTAATAATCCTTTCTGATTGGTGAAAGTATGTTGCTATGGTTACATATATTGTCTCTCTTCAAACCCATGGTTTCGGTTAAAGGCAAACAATTATAAGATTGTACTATCCTTACTCAGCTAGTTTATTTCGTGATATGATGAAAGTAGTTCCATTAAAAACTTGTTTGGGGACTTTAATGGTAAACCATAGCACCATCTTTAAATAAAATACTCTAATTTGTAGACATTTAATGCACAGATTATAGTCTTATACCCACAAATATGATGACGTTTTAAAACTCCATCTATATAAGAGAGTAGACGTTTTGATTTTCGTCGAATATTTTTTGACAGAAATGTGAGATGTTGCTTTTTTCATTGATATTCTTTGAAAACCGATTTTGAAACCGAATGAGATTTTAGAAATTCCAAGTTAAACGTTGTCAATTTAACATGCATCTCGATGGACCAAAACCAGAGACATGCATGTTTTATATGTCTCTGACCAAAACGTAAAGAGAGTTCTACCTAAACGTGTGATCCATTTCACAGAAAAAACATAGAATCCGTAGCTTTAATAAAAGAGACCTCAGGTACAATTTTAGTCAATATGTGCATGGATTTTACAATTAAAGTGTGTAATACTGCTCAACTCGTATACCACTGTTCCACAGCAACTAGTTACTTTGGCTGAATGCCAATGTAACACAATGGATGAAATTCCTGGTTATGAGTTTTTTGTATCCAGGAAGTTCCGTCAAAGTAACTAGTTGTGAAACAGTGTTTATATAAACTATTCGAATTGACATTGCATGTAACAACTAACTTTGCGTTCTCCTCACAAATAATTCAAAAGGGAGTATTTTGAACGTTTTTACGCTGTACGAAATAATTAATCTATTTGTAGTTTTATGTTCGTTTCATATTGTGTGTTCTAACGTGTGAATAACAGTCAACTTCATACACTACTTGTAAGAACTTTTATTGCTCTCATAAAACAGTAAACTAAACTTATCGCGATCGATAGTTCTAAAGTACACTCTTATTGAATAACGCTATTTATATATTAGACTATATGTTTAGGGATTCAGGGAAATGGTCCTTCATTGTACGCAGGTATCGCCTTTGTCTCTTCGCAATTTTTGATTCTTTCGTCAATTTTTTCGTGTACCTTTACAAATTTAACACAGTTCTCCCGGTTTTTGTTGCATATTTTTTGTTGTTCCGCCAGCTTTTTGTTCCACAATCAATTATTTGAATAATTCCGATCCAGAAATGTTAATTGAATGCTGCTATATATATTGTTTGAATTAGAAAGTAAATGAAACTAAAGTAGGTGAAATGGACAGAAAAATATGTGATGGGGGAAACCATCGATCTATAAATTTCAAGATAGAACGACGCTTGACCTTGACCCTTTTCAGGTTGAAATATTATATCTCACTTTGCACGTGGACAATATCATCAAACTGCATGCAAATTGAGCTTATATGAATCCAATGGAAATATTTGTAAATTAAGAAAAAAAGTATCAAGAAATAAACTTTTATCAGCTTCTCAACCCGACCATGCTACTGTTGACATATATTTTTTATTGACTGTCAAAACAAATATTTAGTAAACATTGGCCTTCGCTCTAGGCGCCCTTCATTTGCGTTGAGCTTATTTGGGCCATCATCGTGACTTGATTCATCCCGCGTCCGACGATTGAACATGAATGAATCACATCAACAATAGGGTGCTTACCGCTAGTATAAAAGAAATACAGACTCAGAGCGACAAAATCAATGACTGCATAGGAACATCGCCCTTTTACAAGAAACTAAGTGCGAGCAAAATTCAATAAAACCAGTTGGTATCCAACACATAGTTAAACAGTATCACTAAAAGAACTGGTTGCATTACCTGTTATAGATCGACACCGACGTTGAGGTAAGGTATTTTTTATATAAGAATATTAGAAAGCATGCTGTTAAAATGTTATGTCGTTAACAATGATATACGATAATCTGAATACGTTGCAATGTTTTTATAAGTATTTAAGAGTTCAATCAGCTATTAAACATGAATTCCATTGAACCTGCATTTGGTGTATCGTGAGTTAATTTTGTGAGATACGTGACGTCATCCTAGATTATATAAACCGTTAAGAATAACACTAGGATGGTCACAGCACAGACTCTATTTTCATTAACCTTATTTTTAACTAGCTAACTAAAGAAATTCATAATGGAAATATATCAAGCTCGTACGTTGACACTCCGTTACTAATATAAAATAAAGCATATTGTTGGTCTACTTTCAGAAATCACCATGGCCACCGTAAGCTTTTTATTATGTATGGGCCTAGTGGGATGTACACTTGGCCTCTCTGCCCAAGAAGCTGCGCTGTTTGAGAACGATGGTTCGCTAGGAATTTACCATGGACTCTCTGGATGGGTCAATATCACTGACAACGGGGACACTTGGAAACTTGAGAGTAATGGCGTGCCAGATCATAATACAGGCGACTTCCCGATTGCCGGATCTAACCCTAATGAGATATCTACACAGACACATGAATATGATATTCCTAAAAATCCAAGTATTGCTTCTGAGCCAACGTGTCTATCTATGGGGGTGATAGGAATTGCAAAAAATGGTGTCGCAATTTTCAACCCATTTACGTTAGAAGGGTGTAATGCGGTTGAGGGAAGTGGCGCGGAGGAATTCGATGAATGTAATGCCCACCCCGCTCCAAATGGTGCCTACCATTACCACATGGTTCCAAACTGTATTGTAGACGGCACAAACGATCAATTCATAGGTGTTGCCCTCGACGGATTTCCAATATATGGACCATTGAATTCAGCCGGTCAAAACCTAACAAGTGCCGACTTGGACGAATGCCACGGAGAAACCGTGAACGGAAATTACCGATATCGGGTCACTCACGATTACCCCTATTACCTTGGATGCTATAAAGGGGGGTATGTGTCTTCTATGGGAGGTCCCGCGATGATGCGAAAAAAGCGACAAAGTGGACCACCTGGTGGCGGTGAGGCACAATGTTCGTTTGCTAATCAAGCCACGTTGGAAGCAAGCTCATGCTACACGACTGACGGAAACGGAAATAATGGGAATGCCGGTAACATTCTTCATACGACATTCCTCTTCCAAGTTGGACTCGCCATTGTTAGTGCTGTCGTTACTTTTCCTGATATTAATTAATGATTGCCGACAGCTGATTCTGTTGAGTACGCAATATCTCATTAATAAATGACTTGCCAAATTAGTCATCAGACTGATTATTCCAAATACTCTGCAACAACTCAACTTTTCGGCAATTCAATGAATTCACACGTACACTGAGGCTCGATTTATATCGTTCGATTTCATTGCCGTATTTGAAAGAATCTGAATGGTGTCATATTCAACATTAGTTTGATGCGGTACCCTTAATCCGAATCAGCGCCTTTCAATAAAGTACATGTACATTAACGCTGAAATGGGATTTGGTTGAATTGTGTATGACAGCACGATGTTTGTTCTACTGACACAGTACACCCTTTTACTAACCTTATATTATAAGGATTGCCTTAACCAGGTGTGAATCCCCGTAACCGTAAGACTAGTGAACGCACGTACATTAAAATATATCATTAATATAAAACACGATTTAGTTATAATAACCATGTTTCATAATTTGAAGTACATGTACACATTGTCTGTAGTAGTCTATTACCAATAACTGTCCAGCTTTGTAGTGTCTGCACCCGACCCTTGCTATGTTTGGATTTGTTTGTGTAAATATACAGTAGACTTTACTATTTAATATATGGTTTTATTTTATTATATTTCGATATAAAGGTCTTTGTTACGATTCCTTTATGATAAAGGCATGTCATCATGATGTTAAAACATGACATCTAAAATCTTCTCAGCCCTCAGATACCATGATATAATGAGCTTGATTTGGCGATCCAGGAAACCCCAAAGTTGAGGATTTTTGAGATCTTTCATCCCAGCTCATATTTCATTTAATATTGGGGTCATAAAACTTGTGTAACTGTGCCTGTTGTAATATCTGCTGTTAGATACAATGCCTATTATGTAATGTCTTGACATTAGGTTGATGATTACATGATAACAATCACACTTATTGACAGTTATAACTCTTCCCATCGGATGTGCTCAGATCACAGAATATATGCCTCATAATATCAGAGCATGTTTCAGGTGAAACAGAAAGATGTTATGAGTATGTCATTGTTAATACCGAACATTTAATGAAAGAATGCTATGATACGTAAAATATTGCGTATGTACTGTTCATAATAAGACAATAATATTAAAATATTGTAAGATGTAGTTTAAAGATGCAATGTTGAGTGATAATGAGAAAATATGGATAGGAATATTAGATCAAAAATTATGTAAGTCACTGTAATAAAGAAAACTATACACGACTTAAGTATTCAAATGAAAGGAACATATATGTTTGAATTCAAAAATATGTGAGAAACATTGTTGATTGAGAAAATGTATTTTTTTGAAATAATGTTGTTTGAAATATTGATTTGTATGTTATGTTAATGAATGATAGATATAAAATTTAAAAAAACTAAGGACAAAAAACTGCACTATAAAAATCGTTTATATAGTATTTGCTACATCCAGGGATCAATATCGTGAAGTAATTTCTATGTCAAGCTTAACTCAATTTTAATTCATTCTCCCTTAATGTGAAAACGCAATGTTTGCAATGTTTAAAATTCATTATTTATTGTTGAAATATAGTTTTAGAATGGAAAAAGTTTTATGTTAAAGAAACAAAGAGACTACGCTGTGTCTTTTCCAGTCAATGGTCTTTACAGTTGTGATTTGGTCAATGGTTTATTTTACTTAATCTCAAATCCTAACTGATGTGAAAAAGTCATTCCACCTTGCTGGGAATCGAACCCACATACTTGGATAAATCCTTCTTCATTGATCTTAACGAATTTGGATATATCTGTATATACGTGGATTGTCAATAACCTCTACATTTGACTGTAAACATTACGTATATATAAAATAAGATTGTTATGGCAAATTACCTTTCATTAATATTGCTTGTTACACTTTTTATTCTGTGTTCTTTGCTGCCACATTAATTTGCTATTAGATTTTAACAATTATTATAGAGAAATGGTTTTCGTTCAGTGTACCCAGTTCAACAGAGACAAAAAGCGAACTTTGGACGTCCCAAAGGTATAACTCTATTGCATACAGTAAAAGCACTAGATTTATTTGAATAGCAGTTTTATTGCAGCTGTAAATCAATACATACAGGGTAGGCTTTCTGTAAGCCTCGTCGATATTATAGTATTTTCTATACATACACTGTATATACTTATATGTTGACAATTACTACAGCAGAAATACACCCTGACGGAATGGGTACTGCACAAATATTTCTGTGGTGCATAAATAACTTAATGATGGATTGGAAATTATGCAGCCCGTAATTTGGTAACACCAAGCGACAGAACATTTAACAAGATGGAGTTTGTGACTTGGGGAGGGGGAATTTGTCTTAAAGCCTGCATTAGTGTATTGGTATTGAGATTTGTTCACTCTAGAATTGTGCCTATCGAAGGTAAGCCATAATAGTTAAGTTATATTTACATTTGAACTTATCTTAAAGCGAGGTTTTATATGGTTAATATTATGGTTAATGATTACCTATTTTTCGTATAGTCTTGAAAACTGCTATAAAGGGGCCGACACAATACAATACATAATGTTCCGATATCCCAAGGTAATCATTGTCCAACGGAAAGTTAAAACTAGAAGTCGAAATCCGTGCGACCCACATCCCTAGTTTTTTTTGTCCAAGAGGGTTATATTTATAATGGGTATTGAGTCTGTATTAACAAAGGATAGATTGAGTCCGTTATTTTTAAAGGATAGAATTGGATCGGGTCAATTAATCATAATTAACAGCTTTTTCCTAGGATTTTATTACCAATTTCATATACATAAAGATTAAATCGTCCAGCGGACGGGAATCACTTATTTTGTGCTTTGGACAAGAAGTGCATGGGACAGTCAGATCAGTTTTACCAATGTGTAACTAATATCATGATTAAATCGTTTACATTGTTTATCTAAATATGAAAATCGCACTTTGTATGGTTAACCCTTAGGAGCAGTTTTATCAGTTATATTTTATGCCCCTTATTTGCAATATTGAACCCCAAATTATCATATTTTAGGTTTAAGCCATGTTTCAAAATCACCCCAGGGCGACAATGTGTTGAGCTTTTTGGTACTCGGAGATTGGGGAGGTGTCCCGTATTCTCCATTTTATTCATCCTACCAAAAAGCAGTGGCCAGCGGTAAAATACATTTTATACTTACTACTACACCCCCTTCAAAATCTTGAGATCTCGGACTTTCCACTTTTTGATTGCTCTTCGATTACAATGAAATAGCATAAAAGAACTTCAAAAACCACATACATCCTTAAAACAAATCCCCATATAAAAAAACTAGCCTTTCGCACTATACCTAATATCACATAATTCAGGAACACAAATGATTGTTTCTTAAGCTATGGGTGTCACAGCTAGCATGATCGAAGCAGAGTTTGTTCTTTCCCTTGGAGACAATTTTTATGAGGACGGGGTAAAATCTGTGGACGACCCAAGGTTTAAGGTAAGTGCTAAGTTAAACTGCTGGATAGCAGAGTGATGGATATGGCTCTTAATTTTGATACAACTGTTATCAATCAGTCAATAATGAAAAATGATACAGCATGGTATCTAAGAAGAATGAACGATTTAATCGACAACTTATTAAAGATATTTGAAATGTATTACATACACACAGTAACAATGATATAAAATAGGATAATGATAACAACATCGATTCACCCTTAAAATTTGAACTTTTATTCAATTTCTTGGCTATGGCATTAATGTTTGAGAAATAGGGATCGAAACCAGCCATAGTTTTCTCCTGATGACCATTGTGAATTGTTGTGTTTTATGGATTATGATGACGGTCTTGCGAACGGATGTTGACCCTTTGAATTGCCTATGGACTTCAAGACTGGAATATCCCACATCATTTGAGACTGTATACTCTATCTTTTATGAGTACTAGTATCTACAACTATTTTTGATGTTATGAGTATTGGCTATCAATTTTTTCAATTTTTCTTCAACATGTATTGTAATGACTTCAGTATGAATGAAATGTCCCTTGGTGTTCTGGTCCTGGATTGTGATATTGTTGGTTCTCAATTGGAGGGGGGAGGAGGATGTTAGACATTGTTTCTTTTCACGTTAGATCATGGTTTTGAGATATATAGGGTCTACTTTTCTTATTACACTTACAGTTTGCTTTTCTTGTTGGGTTTCTTTAAAGTTTTTAGTCACCCTTCCCTTTGGCATTTGAACGTATTATTCTAATACTGGGTGTTCAAAAAAACGCAACCCAAAGAAATCGCGATATCTTGGAAAATACTAATCCAATTATGTTTATATTTTCAGGAAGGAAAGAATAGACTGTGTATGTATAGCCCCTGTTGTTAGTTAGTTGTAAAACATGATGTCTTGGACACTTGCTCAAAAGACAGTTGTACTAGCAAAATACGAAAAACATGAATGGAAAATAACTATATCTTGGGAAATACTAATTCAATTATGTTTATTTTTCAGGAAAAGAAAGAAGAGACTGTGTGTGTATAGCTCCTGTTGTCAGTAAGTTGTAAAACTTGATGCCTTGGACACCTGCTCAAATGACAGTTGTACTAGGAAAATATGAAAACGCAGTCAGAGGTGACTGCCACAGCAATAAAACCAAATAACTTTCTAACCATGGTGTTTTGGCACTTCAGATTTGGCATAAATTATCCCTTTTCAATGTGTAGTGGATTTGTGAAGTTTCATTAAAATCACTTCAGGGACTTTATAGTCATGGTCAAAATGCCTTCTTAAGTCTCCCTGAACCAGGGCGTTTGACTGCGATTTCAAAGCATTTCAACCATGACAGTGAAGTCCCTGAAGTGATTTTGATTTCACTCTACAGATTTATCAAACAGTGAATGAAGATGCTTTGTGCCAAATTTGAAGAGCCAAGACACTATGGTTAGGAAGTTATTTAATTTTTTGCGGTTGTAGTCACCCCTGACTGCGGTTTTCGCATTTTGCTAGTACAACTGTTTTTTGAGCAGGTGTCCAAGGCATAATGTTTTTCAACTAACCATTGACAGGGGCTATTCACACACAGTCTCTTCTTTATTTCCTGAAAATATGAACATAATTGAACCAGTATTTTTCAAGATATAGCAATATCTTTGGGTTGCGTTTTTTAATACCCTGTATCTAACTTCATACAAAATGATTCAAATTGTATCTAACTTCATACGAAATGATTCAAATTGGATTGTTAGGTAATGAACGAATGTGATATTTCAGGACACATTCGAAGATGTCTACACGGCGCCTTCTCTGCAAGTCCCCTGGTACACAATCCTTGGAAACCACGACTATCATTCAAATGTACGTGCTCAGCTAGAATATACACAGAAATCAAAAAGATGGTAAGAAAACTATTGTCATCTGCTCTGATATATTATTTTTGAGGTCCCAAAATGGAGGGCGGGTTTATACTGTAATTATAAGGCTCGTTTATAATTTGTTTAAACATGATAAATATTGAAGAAGACATTTTGATGAATGATTTTGCAACAATTGCTAGCATTCCTGAATGTAACTATCAATCGTATAAAATAATCTCATGAAAATAGACCAATCTAGAATTTTAGCGATAACATATACCTGATATTCTTTTATTTACTCCGTCCATTTTATTGGCTACGAAACCTGTATAAACCACATCGATTAAAAACTGGAGGTAAGCTTAATGATTATGTGCATATGCAGTACTGTTTAAGAAAATTCTGTACAATGGTCCATTTGATTTTCTACGGAACCTTAATTTTTCAGGAATTTTCCTGACTTTAACTATACATTGACATTCCCTATTGTCAAGGACTCGGAAAAGACAGTGCAGATTTTAATGCTGGACACTATTTTATTGTGTGGAGTCAGCGGGTCAATTCATCCAGACGATCCACCCTTTGGTCCAGAAAATCCTGAAAAGGCTGAAGAAAATTGGATATGGATAGAAGAGAAGTTAAGATCATCGAGGTAAATACGTATACAAACACATACATTCTGCATTTATTATGTCATCACGAGAAGTTATAATATGTTGTTATAGTCTCCAACTATTTTGTGGACGAAGTTCGATGTTCGTCGGTTGGCGTTTGTAACAAATGGCAGGTCGTGTCGTGAGTCGTGACATTTTGCATGTTAATGCCTTGTTTATATAATTATTTCAATCAGCGTATCGCCAAGCGATTTGATAGGAAGTTAAGCTACACGTTTGAAGAGAGATAGTCCATGAACGCCGAATGATTGTCCCCTAGGGATAACCCCCCACCCTTCGTAGGATTTTAGATGCAATTGAAAATAAATATTCAAAACTAAGCCACCGAAAAGAAAATTGAGAGGGGGGCCGTTATCCTAGTTTTTAAACAACTATCAGAAATTATTTCATGATTTTCCTCATGTTAACAGAGTGCATAGTCGTCACTCTGTTTTATGCTACATTCTAATCAAATGAACAGCAAGTTACACGAATTCAAATATAAAACTGATCCATTTCAGATCTGACTTTCTGATTGTTGCGGGGCATTATCCTATTCTCTCAATAGGCAAACATGGGCCAACCGATTGTCTTATGGAGAGGCTAAAGCCATTGTTATACAAATACAGGGTGAACGCATATCTTTCGGGCCACGATCACAATTTACAGGTAGGTATATAACATCCCCATTATGCGTTACATATAAAGTACACAAATGATTAAATAAAATAAACAATTCTAAAAAGCAATAAGCTGATTAGTGGATATAACAATTCAAATAAAAACAGTAATTGGAACTGGATTATTTCGAAATGAAAAGAATTTTTCGTGATTATCTCATTGCAGCATTTGAGGCATACAGAGCATGAATGGAATGTGGATTATTTCGTGATAGGCAGTGCGGCAAGAATGGACAACCAAAGGTTGCACATAAACAATGTCCCTGAGGCATCATCAAAGTTTTTCTCCGCTGAAGAGAGATCAATGGGTGGCTTTGGTTATGTTCAACTAAACGAATATTTAATGAATCTCACACTATTCAACGGTCTAAATCAAGATGTATACCACGTGACCATGACGAACAGACAAACAACTGAGGCTGGTGAAAGCAATGCAAATACATCCGGAAACGAAGTTCCAAATATTGTAAATAATGAAAAAGGTGTAAAAAATGATGCATCAACAACAGTGAAGGGTGTCAGAAAAGACAAAAGTGTCGCACAAAACATTAAGAGTGACACAACAACTTCATCCGATTTTCTAACGAAATCAGCAGAGATCTATGCAAAATCATCGATAATTAGTGCTAAGTCAATAATAAATAATTTAAAGTCAACAAAAAATAATGAAAAGTCAACAGGATATAGTCATCAATCAACGTTACTTGATGCCGCGTCAACAATTAGTTCTTTTACGTCATCAACAGTAAGTGATTTAAAATCAACACTAATCAAAGCTACGTCAACAGTGAATGATATAAAAACAACTAAAGCACAAATGTCAAATGTGGAAGATCGATTAAAGACAATGATGCATGACAGGAAAACTACAAAGCCCGCTTCTGAAGGAAAAGCAGAGATAGATGGTAATGATAACACGGAACCTAAACATGGTTTTAAGATACCGGAAGAGTGGCCAATAATGTAGATAATGCCACATGCACATGGTCTTATCAAAAATAAATGTCGTGATTATGAAGAAATTCTCTTAATTTAAGAATGTCCATATTCGACTCTGTTGAATTGTTAATTGCATTACACAGATAAGTATGCTCAAGTGCAAAAGAGAGACTAAAAAAGTGTTATAAACAACAAAAGAAAACGGAACATCTGAAAGTACAATCAGCCATAAGGAAAACAAAAAAAAACAAATATCCTATACTTTATCTTTAGACCCGAGAATTTTGATGCAATAACACAGAAATGCATCTAAAAATATATCTCTAGATTTTTCTTCGATATTTAACAACGTAACAAACTCGTATATGGTTTACAGCATGCAAGGCAAACATTAAAATACGTCATGAATATATCATTAACTAAGAATGTTATACAGCATAGTAAACAGCATATTATATATTAAAATGTTGTGTTGTATAATAAAGATAAACCTTGCAATTTTATCAAATAACATGCAGGGCCGTATAGCCAGGAGGGGGGAGGGGGGTCGATGGGTTCGAGCAACCCACCCCTGGCCAAAAAATCTTTCAAAGTCATGCAGTTTTTCACCATTCTGAGTACTTTTAAAGTTAATTTGGCCATTTTTGGACCAAAGTTGTCGCAAGTGAACCCCCCTGGAATTTTTCAAAAAGTGAACCCCCCTTGGCAAATCCTGACAACGGGCCTGACATGAAACATATATCGAAATATCATTCACCCCCATAGATAATAACATTACACGAGGCGAACAGACACGGTAGCTCGTATTATTTCAAACAGTGTTTATTTTTACAAAGCAAAGACATTAGTTATTTAGAACATGCGCAATATTCCGTGTTTCAAAAAATGCTTCTCTATATTGAAATAAATTGTTTATATATAATATAGACGACCTAAAGATGAAACCCTCTAATTCCTGAATATAATGGAAAGTATGAAATATTCGAATTGTGTATATAAAGCGAGATTAATTTTGATATATATTGGGAAGCATTAACTTTGAAGTGATCAAAGATGCATGTCCATATATACAAAGTAAGATTTCGTAATATAATATAAGCATATTATGTTAAAAAATAACACCGTAATCAGCAAACAAAATTAAAACCTTTACTCTAGCTTATTTTACTCTTTTATATCTTTGCATACAAATTATAATACAGAAGTTCGAGCTAGTCATGGATCAAACTTACTAAATTTATAAAATTGTTTGCACAAATGGTATACTACTGTATCAAAAACATTTTAAACCAATAAAAAGAAAAAGGTCCGGTGAGGATGTATGGCGGAACTTGGTTAACCATAATCATCACCAGTCTTACATGTTATAGTTACTGCAACTCCGACTGTTGGTTCGGGTGTATTACACGTTTGGCCTTGCTGAAAATCAGCACATAGACACCTTGCTTTGGCGGTAGTTTTGGCAGTTTGGACATCGTTATTATCATCTACGTATATCCCAAAATCTATCCCGCTTATGAGAGAGGCAGAAGGTGGTTTAAATGAAACTATTGATGCATTATTATACGTTGTGTTTATCTGGTATTGTTGCAGACTAGAAGCAACAGACTCTACTGTACAGTCTGTGCCTTCTACAAGAACTTCAACTATAGTCTGGTCTGACGCTATACCAGATTGTGTAACTATATCTCCACTTCCTTTGAATTCAATACATGTTGTTTGATCTATGGTTGTGTCTTCACGGATACCGAAAGGGTTCCCAAGGTTTCTGGATGATTTCCTCCTCTGCTTACAACTCTTACAGATGATTCCTCTGTTGTCATCTCAACGACTACGCGAACCTTTATATACCAAACCCAATATGAAGGTGTAGTTCGGGGAAACCATGCTAAAGGCCAAAGATCTGGTACCGAAGGGCAATCTTGTGGCAATGTCTCACATACAGAATACTCAAATAAAGAAACTGTACTTTGATAGAAACTATAATGTGGGGCCGTTTCATTTGCTTTCAAACACATAGCATAAGACAAAACAATAGGATACATACATTTCCTATTACAAAATCTACATTCTGGATGTCTAGATGAAGTGCAATTCATACAGAATTGTGAACTCTGATTGTAACAGAGATGTGTACTGCTATGATATACAGGACCATCTGATGTGAGTGGGGAAACTAACGTCTCAATTACTTTCCCTCGACTGGTTGATTTCAGTTGATCAAGTGTTATATTCACACTGGGGACAGCTGAGCTAGAGCCACCAAGATTTGGTGAAGCGCTCAATGAACCTTCTGGAGTGTCCATGAACAGGTATCCATGGAAATCATTATCACCACAGACTGTTAGTATGCAGTCTTTATTAGATTCTACACCTGTGAAATAATCTTTACTCATACTGCCTGTGACAATGCGTCCTGCGCTGCCAGCCTGCCTTGATGTTTGATCCAATGAAATTACAGTAGGTTCTAGAGAGCTGTCCCAGGGTAATGGTGATGCTGAGCTCGAGTCACTATATGTTTTCACTTTAATGAAACAGTAATTTAACTGATTGTTATCAAAGTTGAACCAGTAACGATCTGTTATGACTGCGTCACCAACAAAAAAGTCTGTGGTGTCCTGAGCCTGTGATCGCTTTTTTCTATTTGACACTCGTCTCAAATTCCCTTCATATTCCCATCTCGCAGAGGAGGGGTTAAAAGACCAAAGCTTTACATTCGTTGCGTTCTGCAGTCCTGCACCTATGACATCAGCGCTTATTGCCATGCCTACTTCTCCTTTGATGTTAAGATCATTTCCGGCCGTATCACTAAATGCTAGGTGGAACATTCCGAATGTTTGCAATGACCCAATATCCCCATCGTCATTAGTGAATGTTAGATCCCCTACCATGGCACTGAGGTCTTCATTATTCCGAGGGTCTAAGAAGTTTATAGCTGTTTGAACAGGACCGTTGTATTTCTCACCATTAGCTTTGTAAAATGACTCACCGGGAATAATGACGTCAGCAAATGAACTCCCAGACGTTGAGTTAGCCAAGGAGAGAGTTGTCGTTTCTGATGATGGAATTTCTACAACAGTAGATTTTCTCAAAAGCGGAATGTCTCTATAGAAATTACCGGAAAAGTCTTTGGGTATGTTAAACACCTTAGATGTCTCAATGAAGTTATTTTTGATGAATCCTTCCTTAAAAATGACCACGATTCTTGTCATATCAAGAGGGACGGGAAAACTAAACTCACCATTAAAACTTGCTGTTGCAACCTCTTCATCAAATAAGAATACCTTTCCAAATCTAAGAGGGAAATTTTTATCAACTATATCATGAGCAAATCCGCTAAAAGTGATCTTACGAACGCTAGTTATCATATTGCCTGTAATATTAGCCTGATTACAAATGATGCAACCACACTCCAAAGTCACAACAATGTCGATTGAATAGTCCACGCATGCAATACTTCTGGTTGTCTGGCGTATGGGACCACAGCAATATTCGGATTCAGTATTTGACTTTGGCCGCTGAATACACTCGTTTCTACGGCAACGACCAACTTCATACAGCAGGGGATTTTCACTAGTCTGTGGACAGTCTTTTGGCAATGTTTTGAGGTGTGATAGGGGTGAGGTATCACAGAAACGCTCTCCATCATCTAAAATGACCCATATATAACATGATATTTAAAATATAATTCAAAACACCAGACGAAGGAGTGCTTTTTCAGTGTATTTTATTCTATTTATCAATTATCAAAATGGAACACGTTCTGCGCTTTTGAACTGCCCGTGGCTCAAGCCAGTTGCGTAATATTTAGTAAGTTTTCTCCCTGGGTATCATTGAAAAGAACAATAAGCCGAGGGGAGCAAATTACATGGTCACACGTTTTCAACAAAAATAGTGTTAAAGGAATTGACTATAATTTTAAAATTACCTCCTGTTCAAGTTGCAATCATTTTTATAGATTATATTGATAGATTTAATATCACTGAATATGGTATTGCTTGTTGAGAACCACACAACATTACCATTTATCATTTATTTGAGATTTAAGCAGGGGTCCATTATTTAAAGAAATAATCATTTTTAAAGATTTCTTGTGAATAGATAATAAATAAGTGCAAAAAGTATGAATTATTATATATCGAGAGCATAATGTAAAATTTCAACTGAAAAGTTAGATCAAAATGGAATCCAAGTTCACAATGGGGGGTATAACTCATCAAACACTGTATACTTTTTTTTAAACTTATTGTTACAGTCTTATGTTTTTAATTTGCTTTTGTTAGTTAGGATTATATCATTGACCATTCATGAATTTTTGTGCACCATACAAGGTTATAGAACTTCATTTATACACGATTTCAGCAGGGGTCTATTTTACGAAAATTAAATATTTTTCCGGATAGTTCTTAGATGGAGAGCTAGTACATTGTTACGATTAAATTACATCATTAAGGTGTATGAATGATGAAAACAGGGTTCATTCTGATGTCTACAACCTAATTCGTACAAGGCCATGTCACAAATGGGGGGGGGGGGGGGGGGAAGGGGGCATTGACCTCCACTTGGGGATATTTATTACTTATATGATTTCAATATTACAATAATGTCGGTATCATTATAAACAGGCACTAAATAAGTGTAGAGTATTATAAATACGTTGACAGCAAGAAGATTTATACAATTGAAACTGTAAAACGAGATAACATTTGGGCTCTAAAATCACAATGATTGGTATAACTAATCAAATGTTTACATTTTAAGGTTATAATCATATCCTAGCAATTTAAATTATTTAAATAGTTATAATTGAATTATTTGCAGTTTCTGAATTTTTCGAATATCTTAAAATGGTTCAGATTTTCATTTATTGAAGATTTAATTCAAGTCTAATTCAAAAAGATGAATATTTTTGTGGATAGTACTCAGATCAATTACTATTATTACCACCTTGCCGGGAATGTTATAGGGTTTTTAGTGCTAGTTTAGAAGGCATTCATGTTACTTTATCGATCTGAGCAATATATGACGTCATAGTGGCGGGCCATAGTTGCGGGCCAATTATGCATTAACGCCCAGCAATTTTCCCCGGGAAATGACATATCTTTCAATGCATATAATTTTTGCTATTCTAGCCCTGGGCATTAACTTTTGTAATACTAATAACCTCATTTCTGCGGGCAATATTAAACAAATACTGGATGATCAGGAGCTTGATATGGCAGAATACCTATTCGAGAAAAAAATATTGTGCGAGGCGGTATTTATTAATTTCAATATAGAGCGTTTGGGTTCTAGCATTGCCTCATGGGAAAGTCTATTTTCTACCAAATAAAATAATCTATTACTAAAGTAATGTGCTTGCAAAAATCATATATCCTTTCACCCCACATCATATCATATGCTTTATTGATGTTAAAATCTAATTTTATAAATAGCGGGAATAAATTCTTAATTCATCTTAAATTATAATTTAAATGCAAAAGGCGATTCATAAGTAGATACTTCGTTGTAAACTTCAAAAGTGTCAATATCTAATATTTTTCATTATTATGGACCTCTGTTAAACCCCTCAATGATAAGTAAACGATAATGTTGACAGGTCCTCAACGGATGAAAACGTATGTAGGAATATATGTTTTATCATTTAAAGATATCAAAACAATTGGCGGATCAACAAAAAACAAGATGATGTTAAAAGAAAGTGAACTTAATGGAACAATTATTTTTAATCATTTTGAATGCAAAATATAATCAGACAGACGATCTTATTTTCAATTAAACAGATAAAATCAATATGTCATGCTAATAACCTTCCCAAAATCCGATTCATACAGTCGAAATGTTGAGACATGCGCAGACCTCTATTTAGTGATATTTTCATTTCAAATATGGCGGCCAATCCGATGTCTGACGATCCTTACAAAGAATCTAGGCAGTTTGCATTTTTACCTCCTGTGAAATAACAAGTGGAATTTAGTAGTTGTTTTGTGTTTTATTATCATTCTGCATCGTAATTCTATGTGATGTGGTGTTGAAATGCCAGCAGAAATACATATCCATACGATAATCGAGTGAATCAGATAACAGATTTTTCGAAAACCCGTCTCGTGCTAATAGTGTAAAAACTTGTATTAACATGCTCAAAAGTGCCAATGTGCACATCAATGTCAAGCTAAATCAATGTTGTGTCTAAAACAGGTACCTGATCTACTCAAAACAGCTTGTCATTCACGTATACACGCTTAGCAAACACGGCGAAATGACCTGAATCTTGGAATTTCGGTCGAGAGCTAGTAATGTTTGCTCCGGTCTTCGTCATAAGTGTTCATCAGACTTCACGCATGCGCAGGAGAAAAATTATCAACCAATAAGGTTTATAAATCAATTTTGCGCATGCGCCTTACAACGGTAAAGAAATTCGTATTTATAAACGAACCAGTTTGAGATAACCCGATACCAGTCGGAGAAATCTGACGATCTACGAAACTCACTTCAAAAAATCAAATGCGGACTGACGGCGTATTCTACTATGTTTGGATCTAAGATTTTCAGTAGAGATAAAGTCTTTTATGATCTTTCGAATGAGGTAAGTCTCTAGTTCGAAAGACAATCGTATGAACTTGAACAAAAGTTGAGTTTTGACGAAAAATTTTAACATGCGCAGAAGTCCCATTTTCGTCGTACCATATTGACTGCATAAGTAGATACTCCGTTGTAAACTTCAAAAATATCAAAATCTAATATTTTTTAATTTTTGTGGACCCCTGTTAAACCCCTCAATAATAAGTAAATGGTAATGTTGACAAGTGCTCAACAAGTGAAAACGTATGCAGGAATATATGTTTCATCATTTGAACTCATCAAAACAATTGCAGGATGAACAGGAGGAAACAGCTTAATTAAGGCTTATCTGAAAAATTCCTTTATCCCTAAAATAACTCATTCAAGCACATCTATGCTCTTTGAATTCTTTTAACAGACGCCTTGGTCTATTGAAATGGAATTCTGTGGTGCATCAGCAACAAGGCAATGCAAGTGTGATTGGCAAGATTTTCACAGCGAAATTAAGCAGTGTTATAAGTGCCATTGGATGATCTGTTTTTTGTTGTTGTTGAAAACGTGTCACCATGCTATTCGCTTTGCAGGGGCTATTGATTCTATTCATGATACCCTAGAAGATGACTCATGTAGATATCATGTAATTGACTTGCGCAGCGGTCATTCAAAAACGCAGCCAAGCTCAAAATAAAAATTCGAAAATATTAATGCCAATTACCTTTAACATCAAGGGAAGCGATATTGGATATTGCAGAGCTATAGTCTGAGCTAGCTTTACAGTAATACAGTCCCTTGTCACTATCATTCACACCAGTTAACGTCAATCGGATATCATTTGATGATGGGTTGATTGTTAGAAGTTTCCCGTTCTTAAACCTGAAGTTTAAAACAAGCATCGTACAATAGAGGTGAACGCGATAGTTCAGAATGACAACAATATTCTCACCTCCCCTGTTGAAGAGCTCCAATTCCGGGAACAGATTTTTTACATCCGGGGTTTTCCCCATGCAAAAACATGGTTTTAAGGTTGGGAGAATTTGGTTTAATCAACGGACCAATGAAAATTTGTCCCGCTTGAAGTGATACATTGCGGGGGATATTTATGTTAATGACCATGTTCTCATCTATCGCGTATTAGTCTATTGTTTATTGGCTTATTTTAGAACTTATGCAATATTTATGCTCAACTCATTCTCTGTCTTGCCACAACTCTGCCTTAACTCATTTGTATACTTCTGCATCATAAACATACTACAAGATTTATATTTTGATAAGATTTTACACTGATCATGAGTCTTCCCTGTCCCTTTGAATAACTTCATCAAAATGTACACATTTTATATATAATATAATCGAGATGTAAAATTGTAATGTTGAAAACGCAGCCTGCAACTTTATATATATGTCTGAATTTGCCTTAAAGATTCTCGCAATCTTTATCCAATCAGCGTTTGCGATGTGTATCGGCTCACGTATAAAAGGCGAATCCAACTCAAATCCATGCAGGGGTGTATGAGGTACTCGAATAGGAAAGAGCTCGTGAAATCTGAATTTATATGCACATGGTCAATGTTTACACATGTTTGGAGTTATTGAAGAAAATGTGATATCGGTGTGGTTCCGAATTTGAAGTCATTGCTGGAAAATATGATTTTAATAGGTGAAATTATATCTATAAATACAGCACTAAAAATAACAGTACACGTGAAGTACATGTATGATTGTGTCCAGAAATGTTTGAAACCCTTACGGAAAATTCTGTCTGCATTTTGTCACCATTGCTCTTTCTTCCCGCATTCTAGTGCTGTTTGAATGAATATATTTATTAATGTATTTCTAACTAAAATATATCAATTTTTTTTATAAACCACAAACATTTAGATCATAAAAAAAATTATTCAATACTTGAATGAGCACGATATGCAAGGGTTACTAAGTTGACACAGGAAATGACCACTGATATTGTGTTAGTCCATGCACACAGCGTATTCTGCTAATACACATTTGCTAACACCCCTCACTTTCATAGTGAAGTGACTAATTGGTTTATGTTTACGTTTTAATGTGTTTTGTGTTCCTTGTTACAGCAAGGGGGGGGGCAGTAAAGTAGACTAACATGTTTGCATGGCAAGTTTTGATCGAATATGTTAGACACTTTAACATCGCAATATAAATATAAATTAGTTCATATAAAGCTTACCATTGATAAACGTCGGGCGCAGGTTTCCCTATACCTCTGCAGGTGAAGTTGACGGAATCACCAGTCAAGGCTACTGCATCTTGAGGATGGCTCACGATCTCAATTGTTTCTAGAAGAAATAGGCAGATAGGGCATAATTAAAAAAAGATATACCCTACATTCCATTTTTATATTTCCCAATAACATAAGAGCAGATCATCTTTTGAGAACAAGAAAACTAATGTCTGTGAGAAAATCGTTCATAAAATACATTAATCTAAAGATAGAAGAAATCAAATACTATAATAAAATCTTCTCTGTTTCCCGCTTATGCCTTGGTCACATTTGCTCCGATTTTCACAACGGCGCCCGGCCGATTGAGTATTTTGTTCAAAATTGAATACAATATTGAAAAAACTCGGCCGGCCGATAGATCGGGGCAAACGTGACCCTGACATAAGTATAGATCATTTGCGTTGTTAATTCACGGTTGCATTTTATTCAGGGCTATATATGATTTACCTGTTGTTTCCATGGTAACCACAATCGGATCGGAAGAGACCCCACCAACAGATAATGTGACATCCACATACTTCAACTTCTTGAATATCAACAAATCTGATTCACAAAGATAATCAATTGTATTCCCATTTGAATCGGCGGTTGTTCCCAATATTTCGTACTGAGTCTCCAGATTCGCAACAGTCACGCCATCTATTGGGACCATTTTTGTATTGAAAACTTGGATGTGTCTAATATTAGAAGGACATATGCAAGCTGTGCAGTTTCCATTCAAAAGTTTATTCGATGGACACGTTTTATTACAATCTGTAAACAAAATAATGCGTTATAAGTTCCATTTCTGCTTCACAAAACATTCGATAATTCATTTATCTTATTAATTTGAGAAACATTATTTAGTGACCTAGGTTCTTTTTGTTGCTGAAGGAGGGGGAATTGCGCAAAAGAAGGGCTTTTAAATGTAAACAGCATTGGTCACTCAATGTATTTTGCAAATATTGAAAGCAAACACCTATTTACCAGGACACATTCCATTGTCGCAGATTCTTGTAATTGCGTCCTCTCCATCACAATCAATATCCTCTGGTGATTTCTTTCGACAAAGCCTCGTTCTGGTCTGACTTCCTCTATCACACGTGACACTGCAACTTGACCAAAGACTCCATTTTGTCCATTCGCCATAAGTTACTGAAGTTGTAAATACTTATGATTATGTATGAAAGCTTGTAAACATCATATCTGACCTTTTATAAGTAACTATGTATGACTGTGTAAATATGGTCTCGTATAAAAACTTCATATGCAACCTTTTAACCTAAAATATTTGACATTACAAGACCAACAGCAACATTATTTCAAATACAGTGTCCATAGATTTCGGTGTATTATTGAACAGTATTCAAGTTTTAATATTGGCTGAAAAGATATTGAACGATAGACGCAATGCCCTACAGATATGGCCCATTCAGTTCGATTGAGGTATTTTGTGGTTTTGAACGAAGTTGGTTCTTTACAAACTAAAATATAATACACCCGGAAGTAAACGTCTATGTTTAGTCTATGTAGCGTTTTAATTAAAAAATCTACTCGGTTAAAAGTTTAAAAATTATGTGTACGTTAGAAATGAAATTCAATATTGTTTCTGTTCGCAACTCATCTATTAGAATGGGTATTTCGCTGCACTTTTTATGATTAAAAGATATTCCAATGCTGTTAATAGATACCGTTCTACAAGATAGATATATGTGATTATATATCTTTACATGGCTACAAACTAATGAGAATTAACATTACAAAAAGACCTATGATATGGTGTATGCTTTTAGACAGTCATACTTTATTCATTTGTTTGAAAAAAACCTTTTAAGTACCAAATCAGGAACAAATCATGCTCATGGTATATAACAAAGATCGACCCAGAGTGTTCATATTGCTTAAATAATCTGAGATCTAAAATCATTTGCCATACTGTACTCGATGCCCTCGTATATTTTTCTATAGTAATATGTTTCATTTGATATATCAGTCAAGTCAAGTAAGTAAGTCAACATTCGAACATAAAAATCTCAAAAATCGTACATCTTTGATTTCCAAAATAATTTGTGAGGTGGTTATCAAGATAATAATACACATTTTAACGTATTAATTTTGAGTACATCTCGAATCCATTCTCAACAAAGCGTTCTCGAAATAAGTATTCGAAGTGTTTGAGTTCGGGATATGAGTACGTAAAGATATACCGCTACTTAACAAACTCTTTTGGGAACAAGATATAGAATTAAATGCATATGCTTCTTATTTACTTCCTGACACATGCCAATCAAAGTTACATATGTAAATATCTCTGTTCTAAATAATTTTGAAAACGTTGTTCTCTACAGGTGCCATTTTTTATAATTGAAAAACAAAATTGAACATTTTGCATTTCTAAATTGATAAGTTTCTTGGAATACAACTTAACTGTAAACGATTTAAGTCATTAATAATATTTCCCTTAGTGATTTCATGCTAAATAGACAGTAACTGGGTCAATGTTTTGTGTTCAATCTTGTTTTCATGACTTTTAAACATGAGTCGACGATTATGTAGGAAATTTCATTTCCAAATGAAAGCGTGTCAACTCCTGTTTTTGCACAATATTTTGCCTTTTATAATGATAGATCGCCAAAATCTGCATGTAGCTCTCAATTAGGCGATATGGTTTTTTTTATAGATGTAAGCAATAAACTCAAACAAAAATTCAAACCACCCGCTATAATTTTGATTACACAAGACGAAATTTCCACTCCCGGGGAGCACTTTGGTAACACTTTGAAGGAGGATTCTTGAAAAATCGTTCGAATTTTCACAAAAGGTTTCACGTAATTTTATTGCTTTGTTTAAGCCTCGACTTATATCATACTCAAATCTGATACCATAATTATAAATTAAAATAAAAACATTAAACTCACCAGGTTATATGAGAAACCGTTTCGAGAATTGATGATTGGAGTTAACTGTGGATATTTATAAAAATGTAAGTCGGCATGTATTCGACAGTTAATGTACACACATGATGTATGCATAAACGTGTGACTTAAATATCAATTCGTGACTATCACATTTGGCTTCCAAAAATTAAGTTGGAAGTTACAGTGGTAGGAGAAAACGTCAATCACATCCAAATATCCGAAGGGCGTCAAGTATCAACAATACATTTTTCGTGTATCTCGAACAAGGCAAGGTTCTGTGATCCAGCAATGTGCATTCCGAAAGATAAAATTCACAAATATCAACACATTTTATTGAGTAGGATATTACATTCCAAATCACAACTTTCAAATTATTTGTTTTAATCAAGAATTGTAAGAACTTGAAACATGTTGTTAGTTTTTCAAACCGCATATCCTCATTTACCTTCTTTGACAAGGATGAATCCATTTGAAAACATGTATTTTCTTGATTATTCTTCAATACTACCCTTGAAATATAAGTATGTATGATATTACAGTGTAAATTGACACGCATTTGTTTGCTCCTTATCATGAAGAAATAAATACAGTAAAATCTTGCAATATTTAAAAACAGGAAGTTCATTCTGTATGTAAACAAGAAAAAATACATTTATGGTTGGTTCATAATGAAAAATGACAAATAACATACATCTTTTGAAGTAGGGGTATACAGGGACACAGTGGAAAATCAGAAATTTAGGTCATATCCCAAAGATTGCTTCACCAATATGTAACAGAACATCAAAATTATCATTTACACGTTTGCTAATAGGTTTATTGAAAATAATTAACCAGAGGTTTACTTCAATTGTGGCACCATTCTTAGTGAATACTGATGAACATACGATTATCGAATGTTGACTAAGTTACTTGACTTGACCGATATACGTATACCTTTTTTAAGAACGCATAATTTTGACGCAAATATACATCTAAATATGCAAATAACAAATATGGGTTTACTATATAAAAGTTATAAATATAACAAAAACGTATTTTTCTAATGAAATGACGTGACCTTTAATTACCTATGAAAGTATCATCTTCATTGATCAAGGGCTCTTTTGTTGTCATCTTTTCATTTTGTTCAACTGTTTCCAAGGTATCTGCTGTTGTCATCCTGGCGTTATGTTCAACTGTTGCCAAGGTATCAGCTGTTGTCATCCTGGCGTTTTGTGTAACTGTTTCCACGGCATCTGTTGTTGTCATCCTGGCGTTTTGTTCAACTGTTGTCAATGTATCTGTTGTTGTCATCCTGGCGTTTTGTTCAACTGTTGCCAAGGCATCTGCTGTTGTCATCCTGGCGTTTTGTTCAACTGTTGTCAATGTATCTGTTGTTGTCATCCTGGCGTTTTGTTCAACTGTTGTCAATGTATCTACTGTTGTCATCCTGGCGTTTTGTTCAACTGTTGTCAAGGGCTCTGTTGTTGTCATCTTGTTGTTTTGTTCCACTGTTGCAAGGGCATCTGCTGTTGTCACCCTGGCGTTTTGTTCAACTGTTGCTAAGGTATCTGCTGTTGTCATCCTGGCATTTTGTTCAACTGTTGCCAAGGTATCCGTTGTTGTCATCCTGGCGTCTTGTTCAAATGTTGCAAAGGCATCTGCTGTTGTCATCCTGACGTTTTGTTCAAATGTTGTCAAGGGCTCTGTTGTTGTCATCTTGTCAATTTGTTCAACTGTTGCAAAGGTATCTGCTGTTGTCATCCTGGCGTTTAGTTCAACTGTTGCCAAGGCATCTGCTGTTGTCATCCTGGCGTTTTGTTCAACTGTTGCCAAGGTATCTTCTGTTGTCATCTTGTTGTTTTGTTCAACTGTCGTCGAGACGTCTGGTATGATCGGAACACCAACTGTTGTGGTTGTATAGTTGTTTTTTGAAGTGTCTTGTCTTATATTTCCTATTTTTATTTTGGAACAAAAATTACTTCATAATTCCTTTACTAACAACAACTCAAACAATTATTAAAGGTTTAAGTGAGATTACCTGATATTTAAACGCAAACCATACAGTAATTTCAACATTAATTTTGAAAAACGTATAAAAAGAAAAACTAGAAAAATAGAAAATTAACAACCGTTTGTGACAACGGTATCTGACTTAACCGTTGTCAGGCTATTCCGGTGTGACTTTGAATGGATCGTTCTTAAAATGCTGCTTACTCTCTCAGAATTTTAACAAATAATTACTGGTTGTGCTTACCTCTAAAGATACCGGTGAAGTATAGACAAAGGCCAACGCCCGTTAATGTGATAACCAATACTGCGACGACAGACACCACAGGTTTTATTATTCCGCCGCAAAACATGGATTCCTCGGTAAGGTGTGGTTTTGTTGAGCTTGGCACGATCTGATTTCTTTTAATCATAGACGAATCCTCATTGCCTTGTTGGATTTTGGTAGAATTCCCGACTGTGCTGCCATAGTCACGATTATCCATCTTGTATCGAATGTCCAAGTTTTGATCATATCTATATCGAGAGCTTGCCATTTTTGATATTTAAACTAACCAATTCTTATGTTTGAATTAAAAATTATTTAAAAGTAATTAATTCCTTATATTTACGTATAGATCAAGACAAGAGCTTTGCGAATTTAATATACATCTACTGCTATATCTGTCGCTGACTAACTCGAAGCTTGTATAAAAATACCCAAAGCCATTCAAAAGGGCGTAGGCCCACGTCATAATCTTTGGTTGAATTGTTATAGAACAACCAATTTGTTAATTCATGGTAATTCTACTTCCGTGTCGGGTTAATAGCCCCATGAACTCTATTTCCATATTGTTTGGTAATTAATGATATTTCTTAACAATATCTGGCATCCACCTAAAATCAATCTGTATTCCTACTTTGAAAAGTAAAACAAACTTTCCCAAACCGAATTCATAATTTTTATTTAAAACGAATTATTATTTGTTGACAAATACCAAAATATACCAAAAAGTGTTAAAGTAAGCGATAATTTGATTTTTTGAAGTTCTCAGGTTATATTTACAGTTACATTATTGATTCATAGTTTTACTTCCTGGTCCATGAATTATTACTTCGGCCGCATTGGCTCACTGTTCGCAATCGGCCATATAGTGGGGCAAATACACAGTTGTGTCACTCGCACCCACTTATTTTCAAATTTTCACAGCATTGATTAACCCTAGAAGCCCTAAGGTAAAAATAGTCACACGAACACCTAAGGGGGGGGGGGGGGTCAAAAGGGCACCCCCTTGTAAATTTTTTATTAGTAGAGCTAGGATGTTCAAACATTTTCCACATATACTTCCTTCAATTATCTACAACTTGGTGTAAAAACTTTAACAACTACGATGGTGTAAAATTGCGTAATTTTATTCTGAAGACAACACGTATGGTAGAATTAGTGCTAGCTTTTTTCTGCTTTTGTCTATTGGAGCTGATGATTACATCATAATAAATTAATAACAAATTAGTAAAGCTAGGCAGTTCAAACTTTCCCAAAATATACTTCATTCAATTATCTACAACTTGGTGTTATTACTTTAACAACTATGATGATTGAAGATTGTGTAATCTTATTCTAAAGATAACACGTATGGTAAAAATAGTGCTAGCTTTTTCCGATTTTGTCTATTGCATCTGATGATTACATCATAAAAAATCAATAACCCTATGTGCAATTTTGCTGATTTTTCAGAAAACATTTGTTATACCTGTTATATCTGCTTCAGCTACTGAAAATGTGAAGACCCTACCAGATGCCAATAAAAAGTTATGGGGAAAAAACCTAACAGGGGGGGGTCATTTTGACCCCCCCCTCTTAGGGCTTCTAGGGTTAAAAAATAAAATAAGGGCCAGGGGGCGAGCAACACAACTTTTAACAGTTTCAAGTAAATTAGCAATTCATGGCCCAATGTAATCCAAATTCTTTATCACTTGTATACTTTTTTTATAGGATAATCTATGGAAGAAAAATATTCTATACTATCAATCTTATTTTACATTTTTCTCTTCAAAACAACATTTTTATTCAGTCTGATTCTATTTTATTTTATTACAACAAGATTTTCATATAATTCAAAATTCCTTGTATCATTGAATAATATGACCTATTGGTCTTTCATTAGATACTTTGAACATTTGCAAAATGTCATTGAATTTGTCTTGAAAATTCTCAGAAATCTTCAAGCATTGATGATGGGCTATTTTTACAGGAAATGTAACATTTGCCCAATAAAGGACACCTTCGTGGGACGTTTGTGCATCGAAGATTGCCGATTGTCCAATCGATCCTGAAAAATATTAAAATAAAGTATTCATTCAGTGCATACACACTGCCTGTAGGTTTTTTATAGACTTGTGTCGGGTATCCTAAAGTTATCAAGGAAAAGTCTTCCAAAGATTTGGTTCATCCATTGCTGAAAAACTTGTTATAACATCTCATTTTTGGGATGTTTGACCTTTGTTTTCTGATTTTAAAGACGGTGAAATTAAAAAAAAAGAATTATAAAGGATACACTCGTAAATTAAACCCAAGGCCTAAAAGATAGATTTGTGTGTAATAGTTGCCCAGAGGGACCTGCGACTAATATCCTACTGATTGGTCGTTTTATAATCCAGACACAAAGAAACGTTATTTTTTAACTTGGGGTTTTAGAACAAACATTAGCGCCATGGCTATATCAGCCTAATATTGGTACCCATTCAGATTCAGATGCAATACAATGTTCTCAGTTCTATTTTATTACACTCTTGGTTGTTAGACCTATCGGCAAAAAGTATTGTTACATGTATATAACATTATGTTTTATTTATAATAAAATTACGTCATCATATTATATAGCCAACAACGAACCTACTTAGTGATGTTACTCTTTTTTTTGCTTACCAAAGAGCGTAAGTACCCAGAACACTTCAACTTCATGATTAAGTTTTAATTGATGTTAATTAAACATCTGAACATCATGGACCTAAACCAATGATTCATAATCATCGCTCACCTAGAATACCACCGGCTGATTTAGAGACGCCATCAATTTCGGTAACACCGAAGTTCAGGAACTGCTCGCCTTTTGCATTTCCCTTACGAATGATTAGAATTTCCATTTCACCATCGATAAATATGCGCACCTGTTAATGAAAACACACGATAAAGAAATTGATGAATGATACTGGTTGTATATGTCATCATTTTTACTGCTGAACATTTTAACATGAACATTTAAAAGGTGTCCAATAAACAGAGCCACCCCAAGGTGTAATAATCTTTACTGCTGAACATTTTTAGAAGATGTCCCATAAACAGGGCGACCCAAAAGTATAATACATATTTAAATCAGGAGTTAACTTTATATTTTCAGGAACAAGTCTACGACAATACAACTACGGATCACATGATAACACCAGCCGTACAATATGTGCATCACACGCATACTGCATCATGTGTAATAGATAATCCGGTCAAAAATTTATACTTATAGAAAAATAACGAAAAAGGAGGAAAAAGCTAAACATGTACCCTAAAGATGTATCTTCAAAATAGTTTAAACCTTAACGTATCAACTGGTAGTTATCGTACGTTACGATTTCAAAACACTCATGAGTTCTAAGTTCGCCAATGCAATAGTTTTTAAGCAATAAAGTAAAAATCAAGCAATTAAATAAACAACCCAATCAGTGGACACAGTACCTGTTTCTTAGACACAGATGCCCATCCAATCTCGATGTTCAATGTTTGCTGCATCCATTTGTATATCTGAGTATCTTTGCCTGGAGAATGCAAAGTTATCATCAGAGGAGTTACTGACATTCGGAAATCTTTCGTCCTGACCTCTAACGCTCCGACGTACTCAACAATGCCATATTTGGTTTTAGTCGACGTTATAAACGTTGCCATAACATCTGAAACATTATTCCGCCCTGAATATATGCGATATCATATGTTTATTTTTTTAAATGCGGAAAAGTAATTTATAATTTTTCAATTTTTTCTTAAAATTCAAATGCCAAATAAAACTTTTTCTCTTTGATATTTTAGCGACGTATAGTTTCCTCGAGCACATTTATGACTTTACAATATATACGATAAATTACCTAAGTTATGATCTCGAAAGACAAGATAGGTCGCCCCTGATTCCCCAAAGAAGTCATAGCATAGTTTATGGCTACTACCCTTGATAGTCTGAGAGATATGTGGATCACCACACACCATTATACCTGCTCTGTTAGACCTGAAAATACAATTTCTCAATGGTTTTTATTTTTTGACTTGTGATAAAGACCAGAGGCCTCATTATCATCTGGTCGCAAATAGTTGCGTTGCGTCTGCGATGCGATTGCGATCGCAATTCGTAACGCATGCGATGCGTGATATTATCAATTGAGCGCAATCGCAGACGCAAAGCAATCGCAAAACAATTAAAACGTAAGTTGCGATCGCAAGTCTAGAGTGTATTTTGGCGCGAAATTTAAAAGGACACTGGCGCTAGTTTTTGACATTGATTGATTGAAATTGATAGAAATCCAATAATTTATATGATTTGATTGGTTGCGCATGCATTACACTTGTGCAAGACATAAGTGCGCCAAAATGCAAATCGATTTACATTGAACAGACGGTAGTCGAAGAAACATTTCGAGGGCAAGGAATTGGACAAATGATGAACAAGAATTATTAGTATCTCTCATTGAGAAGGATGCAAATATTCTTTTGGCACCACTTAGCTGTCAAATAACAATACAGTCACAGGATAGTTGCTGGGTAAGGGTAGCTGAAAAAATAAGTTCACTTGGTGTGGAAATGAGGATGAATATGTAAGTCACACATCACTGAAAATAAATAACTTTTAAAACGGGAAGTTGTCATGTTACTGAAACTAACTGAAATAAAATGAACTTTTGGCCGTTGTTGTATGTGTTCTACAATGCTTCTATCTAAAATCCGTCAACATAATTTTTCAACAGACAATGAAACGATAACAGCTAATGAGTTTTCTATTTGGTGGTGTATATTTTACATTTTATACACATGCAAGAAAATTGCAAGTTGTGGGTTCCATATCGATATATGTTTAAATATGTCTCCAGTGTATTGCATTTATTTTCCTTTGGAACAAAATATGAAACACGTCTTTTGCATTGTGATCAAAGCAAATCATGTTTGAATCAGGGTCGGGATGAAAATGTAAAAATCTACAATTTTGAGAGGAACTCTCATTTTAAATTGAAAATCTAACTCTTTCCGACGAGTCAACTTCAATGCGATGGGTGATGCTTGAACAACAGATACAGAGTCTATGTAAAAAAGAAAATCGTGCTTTTTCATTTTTAAACTATTAAATTTAACAACTTAGTAATTTGCAGTGATATGCCATTAACAACGTTATGTTTCTATTCATATTCAAACGCGATCGAATAAAATGTCTTTAATATTTAATCTATATCTAGGAACATGGTTAAACCTATCTCGAAATACTCTTCGGCCAATACGATTGTGGTGATCCAGAATGAAATGAAACATCTTGGTGTTCTTGTTCTTGTACTTTTGCAGACAATGTAGGTGAGGTACATATACACTAGGAATACTCAGAACATTAGTGTAGTAGTGGCAAGATTAATTCACCAAACAAGCTTTATTAGCTAGATAAATATTTAATTGGCGAAAATCCTATGCTCCAAAGAGCACGAAATATTGCAGGCACCAATCTTAGACGTATACAGTATGTGATGCGTTCGCAATATTTAGAAACAAACGTGATTTTTAAGGATTTACAGGCTCAATTAAATGTATATTTTAATCATATTAAATAAATAAAATTGAACAATTTCTTCGATACTATTGATTAATACTTAACAGGTAGTGAGATGACCGATATAAAACACCACAAAATATCCATTAACATAGATAAAATAACGCTCAAAGATGAACTAGATTTGCGATTTGATTTGCGACAGGGTAAACGTCGTCGCAACTTTTTGTTTAGTTGCGATCAGAAAATCGATAACTTTGCGTCAGACTTGCGATGCGATGGAATGATAATAACATTTTTGGGAAATAGTTGCGTTGCGATGTCTTGCGATGCGATTCGCATGCGATTTTGCGTTGCGACCAGATGATAATGAGGCCTCAGGTTCGTTATAAAGATCTTAAAATGACAAGCATAGTGTGAAAACATGTAGGCTAGCTTTAAATTTGATCGATATCACATCAATGTTAGAAAAGTTGCGGGGTACGTTGTAGTTGCATCACCTACCTTAAAATTATGTCTTTGCGTTTAATTCTAATGTATATTCTCAAGTAAATTTACAATTTTCAACAATCGCCTAGATGAAAAGCTAGATAATATTAACATTCCTGTCGACTTGCTGATTCAACATGCAATTATATTTATGAAATAAAATAATAAAAACCTGCAATTTGGTCTGGAGGGGTCGCTACAGTCGTTGTTCACTCGGCATTGCAAGGAACACTGGCAATCAGATCCACATAATCTGCGATGTCTAGTACCTAAGCACTGGTCGTCACTGATACACGTAAAACCCTCTCTCGTTGCAACTAATATACACATATTAACCAATGTTATTCAATATAAAATAAAATTATTTTTATAACATATTTTAGCTTCCATATTAGTCATACTTTCAAATAAGAATAAAAGCTTTGGAATACAAAATTTGGCATGTGCCACTCTTCAATGGTGTCCTGCCCCTTTTTACAAATAGTGTCTCAGCGTTTGCTTATATTATTGACTTATTTTTGCCAGGTTTGAAAAATTAACTGAAATATCATTTTCGTAATGGTATCTTAATGTATTCAAAATGCTTTCAAGTATTCACCATTTTGAACAATTTATAAGTGAATCTGGACAAAAATTTTCAAATACGAACCCCCCGTGAATTATTTAAAAAAACGTATCCACCTGGAAAAATTACGGGCGTGTATTTAATTTTTGGTACTAACCAGTTCCCGAGGTCAACCCCCCCCCAAATATATCATCTTTCCAGGTTAACACTGATGCAGTCATATTATGAAGCTAAATAAATGATGGGAACCAATCAAATCAATCAAAATGACAACGTGACTATGACTACAAGTGACATGGAGAGGCGTTTTTATAGAAATACTCACAGTTTGGTAGATATATCGTCAACACCCAGTTGAAGTAGTTACTCATCCTTTGCAGTGCACCCAATATGGTAATTGATACAGACGGGTTGTTTGATATATAGTCGTCTATTTGAGTTTTCATAGTCGATACAGACGTAGAGACATTTTTCAAGTATGTACAACGAGGGGTACCATTCAATTCTTCATTGTTAGCAGCTAGATATAACCTGTTTTCATCGCTCAGCTCTACTCCATACAAATCATTCAGATCATCCAAAATTTGGTCTAGATCCATGTATGCTTGCGCTTCCATACCGCTTATGTCAACACCAAATACTTCTGCATAGCGACTATCCAAAGAGGAAGTTGCAGCGAGCAATCCTGTATAAAGAGTAAGTAAAATAACCAGAAAATAGATTTCTCAAATACTTTTAAGTTAATGTAGGACAAGCGAGTTAAATTTACCATAACCGAGACTTATTAAGTTCTTGATGGAGATATCCACATACCGTTAACGCATGTGCATTCATCGATGTCACACACGGGAGGATTGTTACCAGTGGGATCTATATCAGAGTCGTAACCACAGACGTAGCTATTAGGCCCGTTGTCACCAATTAGGTCACCAAAATATTTTTCTTGGCACGCCACCAAAGCTGGACCCTCAGCGTGACAAGACGTTGTCACCATAAAATCTGGGGGATCTGAACAAAATTATATTTTCAACGCTAATCGTGATGACTGTTGTATACTAGGAACATCATTTTCGGCTACATGTCCTTGTTTTTCTAAAGTTATTCGATATAAGTATAAGTAGGAAAAATGTTTTACAATGTTTGGTGAACAAATAAAGTAAAATTAAAAGTGGATAATATGCCCACTGTGATGTCATCCGCCTTAACTGTACATGCACGTTTATATTTCACCGGATGTTTGAAAATAAATAAATGAATAAAAGTATTAAATATTGGTTAAAATCAAATTAGATCGATAGACAGTTGTCCTTACTAGCTGTATGATGAAGAAATTAAGACTTACATGTTCCCTAATATTAATTTCGAGCCAAATATTGTGTACTGTATATTGCAAGATACATGTACATTTCGATCTGATCATGGTCAAAATCATTGAATCAAGAACCACGTCCGCTTCATTTCATAAGTCTTTCAAATTATGGAGTTTAAATATAATATGGTAAATGAAGCTTAACATTGTGGAAATTGAACCCACGACATCAGCCACAGTGACTACCCTGCGCGCAGCGTCTAGTAATAAACTACTGAAGACGAAACTCTCTTTTAAGAAGTGAAGTTGAGCGAATGCAAAGGGTATACAGTGACTTACCTTGGCCATCGATGAAGTTGAAGCTTAAACATAGTGCAACGAGACTAAAAAATCTGGACATTATTAGACTTAAACCTCTCTTCCCAGGCAGTGTTGTATTCTGTAGTACTTTTTTCGGACCAATTACTTTCCGTAAATATAGACGTGCATTTATAGATCAACCGGTTTTGGCCAATCTGATTACGTTATGTCACGTGATTCAACCGACCAATTGTATCTTGTTTATTATTTAGCGCATCACGTGACTCTCTGCGAAACACATTTTGGATCGGCCTTAAAGTCACGCCACTGTTTGTCAAGGCTTTGTCAGCTTTGTCAAGGCATGATGGTTGAACTTTGACAATTAACTTGTTTCAAGCTGTTTTCACATGTGCAGCTGGTGGCTTAACACAATCAATTAAGATCGCAATTGAGATATAATTTACTATCAAATTTAATCAAATTTGTGCACAAACAAGTCAGAGTTTGATGTGACCAGTGGTCAGGGGTTCAAATGAAAATATGGGGAAAATACAAAGTATTTCGATAGTATTAATTTAATTTGAGCCTTTTTTCATATAGCAATGTCTTTAGATGTTCGGCATGATACATTTTTAAATCACCATTAAATGGCGTTGAGCATTGATTAGCACAACAAAACATTCGAGTCAATGATTATCTTTTCCAGAGAATTAATGATCTTCTAAACTCCGTTAAGGTCATTTTTGATATTTTCTGATTCAAATGATACCGGACTATTAATTATCTGCTCTATCCTATTATAAGATGATTTTGAAGATACAGTCCAGATGGTATAAAACACTTAAAGACGTCGGTATATCGATGTTTGTCCAGAAACGAATGCTTGATCGACATCCATCCTTTATAAGGACGGATTAACTTTTAATTTAAGAAAGTCATGCTCCATAATATTATCAAGGAGAGGTTATAAAAAACATTATATTTTAGAACACGTACAATTGACCTGTTTCGCTGAGAGGTCAAATACTGATTCAAAACATCAAGGTTTTCAGTATAAGGGTGTCGTCTAAGTGTTTTATAACGACATTATAATGACATTATAATTATGTCTATTAATCCTTCATAAGAGTACAGGGTGTGTGAATAAAAATGGGACACAGATATATTCATTTTTTCAAGAGCAAATATGAACCAAATGTCATGACAGCTGGAGAGTATAAAGAGTTTGTTCATGTATGTAAAGGAGTGGTATCGATATGGAGAACTTTTTGAACACACGTTTCTCGTAAACCAGTCATAAAAAATCTAAAAATTTTACGCATCGTCAATTTAATGGTCATCTTTTGAATGGTAACAATATAATTTGAAATACATATACTTTCATCTATATTGTTTTAGAAAACACATCAAACACTTGTTTTGTTCTTGGTATCATGTTTCCAGAGTGAAATGAAACATCTTTTCCAACCTCATTGGAACAAAACGACATTAAAACAACATGTTTAAGTCTCTCAATATTGTAATTGTACAAAGGAATTTTGGTTGATTTAAAAAAAGTATCTTAAATGAAATAAAAGGTTTATCTTGATTTTTATCCATTTTGGGGCATTTTGTTTTAATTTTTTGAATACTTTTTTAACCAAACCTTAATCAACCAAAAATTCCTTTATATAACTATAATATTGAGAGGTCTAAAAACATGTTGTATATGCTATTTTGTTCCAACAAGGTTCGAAAAGACATTTTATTTCATTCTCAAGAATTGGTATAGAAAGGAGCAAAAACAATTGCACTAGAAAAAATGTTAACAAAAACAATTATATAAAATATTTCTAAATTATTTTCGCATAAATTGTTGTCAATCAGTCAACATTACATAAAATACCGTGTTTTTTGCAATCATTCACATGTCCGTCTGTCTGTCCGTGCGTCCGTCGGTCCGTGCGTCCGTCCGTCAACAATAGTGGCACGTTTTAAAACCTCTGTCAATAGGATTCCCGATTTAAGTTATTTTTGTTTAACATCAATACAGAAAACTTCCCTATGACTCCTGGTTCAAAAGCTCGCCTATTTTCAAAATGGCAACCATTTTCGTCTCGCAAAATTCACTTTTGACCCATTTCCTAGCGTTACAAATAATTTCAGGTGTCTTACATTGTAAAAATCCATGTCGTTGTAAAGAGTAGATGTATCATATAATTTTGTTGCAAAAAATCAGCAACAACTTATATCCATTTTTTTAATTTTCAGCCATTTTAATTAGCATTGATTTGTCCATCTGACTTGTGAAATCTACTTTTCTGTCAACAATAATCACAGGCTAGTATCGAAATATTTGTCCGCTGTGACGGAGCATGCTATTTTTCATAAAAACACTAAGAATACTTCACGATTTATTTTTTAAGTCATATGTTTCGTTATACCATACAAAATTACTTACTGCGAGCAATGGATATTTCATTTGCGGGTAACTTTCACTTCTGTTTGAAGTCCAATTACGCTGGGAAGAAAAGCTATTGAAAATGGCGCCGGAGTATCATACTTTAAAATGTACCATTTCTTGTTTAAGTTTCTAATGGCACGATATAGTGACACGATAATATTTACACATGGTTTCAGCATAACTATGAAGGTATAAATGAGATGTTGATGTATTTGGTCTTTTTAATTCTTTTATAAAAAATAATGTTTGATTTTTTTTGTCCGCTGTGACGGAGCAATTGCAAATGTGAACTGTGAAAATGCTCCGTCACAGCGGACAAAAAATATTAATATTATTTTTTATAAAAACATTAAAAAGACCCAATGCATTAATATCTCATTAATAAATTCAGACTTATGGTGAAAACAAATGTTAATATTATCGTATCACTATATCATGCCATTAAAAAGTTAAAAAAGAAATGGTACATTTTAGAGTTTGATACTCTGGCGTTGTTTTCAATAGATTTTACTCCTAGCGTTATTGGACTTCAAACAGAAGTGAAGGTTACACGCAAATGGTATATCCGTTGCATGGAGTAAGTAATTATCTTTGATATAACGAAACATATGAGTTAAAAAATAAATCGTGAACCATTCTTAGTGTTTTTATGAAAAATAGCATGCTCCGTCACAGCGGACAAATCTTTCGATACCAGCCTGTGATAATGGCACGTTTTAAAACCTCTGTCGATAGGATTCTTGTATTAGGTTATTTCTGTTCAACATCAATACAGAAGACTCCCCTATGACTCCTTGTTTAAAAGCTCGCCTATTTTCAAAATGGCCGCCATTTTTGTCTCGCGAAATTCACTTTTGACCCATTTCCTAGCTTTACAAATAATTTCAGACGTTCTGCATTGTTAAAATCCATGTCAATTTAAAGTGTAGTTGTATGAAATAATTTTGTTAAAAAAATCGGCAAAAAATTATATCTGTTTTTTTTCAGCCATTTTAGTTCACATTGATTTGTCCATCTGTCTCACGAAATCTACTTTTGGACCATTTGCCTTAAAACCTCTGTCAATAGCATTCCTGTTTTAAGTTATTTTTGTTCATCATCAATAAAAAAAACTCCCCTATGACTCCTGGTTCAAAAGTTCGCCTATTTTCAAAATGGCCGCCATTTTTGTTTCACGAAATTGTCCATCTGTCTCACGAAATCCACTTTTCGACCATTGCCTTGAAACCTCTGTCGATAGGATTCCAGTTTAAAGTTTTTTTTTGTACAACATCAATACAAAAACTCCCTTATGACTCCTGGTTCAAAAGCTATTTTCAAAATGGCCGCCATTTTTGTTTCGGGAAATTCTTTTTTGGCCCATTTCCTAGCTTAACAAATAATTTCAGGTGTCCTGCATTGTCATTGTAGACATCATTCATTTTTGAGCAACACCATGTGAGCCCAGTACCCACGGTACTAATTTTTTACAGAATGTTTTCAATGATTGGTTTAAGAGAAAAACATTGTTGAATTCAGTTCTTCATATCGATACCACTTCTTTTCAGATCAAACAATGTGATTCGTTATTGTTTACACCTTCTGAAGGTTTTGGACCCCAAGTACAGGTACATACACTCCCCTCCATAAGTTTGGCAACCTTTTTCCCCCATTGAACTACGTGTTAAAGCCTCTTTACCTTTGAATTTTTATTTACTTAACCTGCGATGAAAATACTTATACTATTGATGGAAACGTAATTTGACTTTAATTCCAATACCTCCAAATTTTCTCAATTTTTTTCCTCAATTACAATATGTCGAAAATTGATGATAAATTTGATGAAATTTTGAAAATCGACATTCCCATGTTAACCAATGGGAAATGGTAGGTCTGCCGCAAGCCATATGACAGAATATCCATCTATCCGAGTCCTTGCAAAAAATACGAGTTAGGCAGGCAATTGAATTTGCTAACTTTATTTAACAAAAAATTGATATGTTTCTTCAGGTTCAACAAAGTTAAAGGGCTTTAAAGTCAAAATTGTTTTTCAAAAAAACTCTCCCATTGAAATAACACAGGAGGCGAAAAATTATTTTCAAAAATGACTTTGAAGCGCTGTAACTTTAATATTCATCAAATAAACTAAACACTTAGTGTTCAAAAAAGTTAGACAATATTACATGGGAATGACGATTTTCAAAAATTCATCAAATTTATCATCAATTTTCGACCTATTGTAATTGAAGAAAAAATTGAGAAAATTTGGAGGTATTAGAATTAAAGTCAAATTACGTTTTCATCAATATTATAAGTTATTTCATCACCGGTTAAATAAATAAAAATTCAAACGTAAAGAGGCTTTAACACGCAGTTCAATGGGGGAAAAAGGTTGCCAAACTTATGGAGGGGAGTGTATATTGCAATAACTCTGCAACCAGAGAAACTTTACACATTTTTAAACAAAGAAACTGCATGCCGACCTTCCGCAATAACCCTTTAGAACAAGCTCATTAAATTTTCATAATAACATTTTCTCTAATAAACCCACGAATCCGGGTAACTGGATCATTGAGCTTATGAATACGGGACTAATCCTAATATAAGCTTGTATAAAGTTACAATGAATAAATCTCGATTTATCAAGACCCTCAATAGAAATCTCTATATAAAGTAGATTTGAGATTAAGGCGAATTATAAACAAGTAACCCAAATGATAACTTAGTGGGCATGATATGGCTTTAAGAACTTCACTCGAGCAAAATAAATCAAGTAAGTATATACATTATTTTATGTTGATTGTACAGGAAAGTTGATATTTTCTAAACCTAATACACACCAAATATAAGACTACATCGAACAATTAACTATAATTAGTCGACGAATACTATTACTATAAGTATTCATCGATTCTTCTTTAGGCATGGAATACAGTACATTGTACAATGATTTGGATCTATATCAACCGTACAATTCTTCAATTATTCATCAAAGACTGGATATTCCATGTAAGGCATTGTGGCTATAATATCAAAATCTGTATACAGGGATCGTCTAATTTAACTATCACACAGGATGGATACATAGATGGGAAAATTTATTTAACGGTACGATTGTTGATTATTTAATTTTGATATTTTTCAATATTTTTGGAGCATGTGCATAAATAGTTATGATCTTCATCATGTATTTTAGGATGTATGTAGAATGTGGACTTCGAGTCAAAAGATTTTGAAATAAGAAACAGAAACAAGGCTCCAGAAAAATTTCATGGCCTCATACAAATATGCTCCGGAAAATGACTAAACAGTCTCTGAAGATTCATTATTTAAACTATTACGCATCGTTAGTGTTCCTACTATCAGTAATACAATCGTGCAAAGGGGCTAACTATCCAGCTTGCACGAACAAAACACAACAATATGACGGATATCCATACATACTAGACGAAAATGAAGGAAGAATGTGGGGCTATTGTGGGTTCCCGGATGTCTCGAATGACGACGCGAGATGTGGACGCAGGACGAGAATTGACTTCGAACGCGAAACGATAGAGTACTTTGTTTGCGATCCTGATTTTATACTGGGCCCCGAAGAAGGTAACAAGAAGCTTGTTAATAAATGCATACCCTTGTATATGATTTCAATTTTCCTCTCTTTTGGCTTCAACAAAATCGATAACTGTTTTAATTAATAATATATATTTTAAACAGTTTTGTTTTTGTTATTTAAAACTTCATGGAATTATTTATGGTACAACCTTCCATCAACTTCCTTTCTGTGCCACTCTCTCTGCTATATTTCAAGTCAACAAAATCGGTTAAGACGTGGTTTAAATGGGGTCCAATTTGTAAATCTAGAAAAATACTATAATATTCGGATAATAGGCCTAGTTACCTTTATATTGTATACTTCTTGATCATGGTGTACTATTTTCCTAAATGTGACATCAAACAATCTTTTCATGAAAAATCTCCAGATAGGTCAATACTGTTAAGGAAAATGACATCGTTGAGTCGGCAATTTTAAAAGGTCAATATGACAATATTTATTTGGCCATTTTTCGGATACACATTTTTAAATGTTCATCATGGTGAGTTATCGGAAATACCATAATTAAATTTAAACTCCTCCACCTTTTAACATTTTTGATCTCATTGTTCATTCAGCAACCTCCATAGATAATGACATCATCATATTTAGAGGAGGGACACCAGGGCAGTGCAGATTCCGAACTATAAAGCAAAATTTTACTATTGCAATAGCATTGACGCAGCAGATGAGAATGCCAGATTTACAAGCGGATGGAACGTGAGTAACGTTTTACTAATGTACCCAAAATTACATCCATAATGTCACCTCGGCAATGAACTACAGTCAATCCTAATGTTTTTAAATTTGTGAGCCAAATAGGAATGACCAAAATTGTAAAAAAACACAAATAAAGAATATTGAGGACAAAACAGAATTTCAACAATAATCTAATGCACGAAAACTACTGCTCGTCGCCCCCCCCTTAAACACACCAACCGAATGGTCATTCAAAAACAACATGGATGTAGCCAGGGGGATAGGTGCAATCGCACCCCCTACCCCCTCCCCATGGCAATAAAAAAGCAATTTTGTAAAATTTGTTGAAACAACATTATAGTTTGAAATGCTTAGAATCCACCATATACAACGTAATTTTATAAAATTCCTGGGTCGAAGCACCATACAGGTCCCCCTTTTAGGGCTTGCTTCGCTCGGAGTGATACAAACCCAACAATTCGCACCCCCTTGACATTTACTGGCTACCTGGGAAATGTACTTCTTGCCATTCCCTCCATCATTTGAAATACAAATATTCTGAAAAATGGCTCCAATTAAATGTCAATTTTTGCCAAGCATCCTATGATCAACGACTGAATCATTGACTTGCAACATTGCTTACCTCCACAGGTGTATCAATGATTGCGGAGAAATCTACCCTTTATTGGACTACGACCTACGTAACTTGACGTCACCGGAAGATCAGCAGACGATAGCCAATCTCTTCGCAGAAAGTCTTAGAAGCAGATGGAAGGCTGGAGCGTGTGGAAATGACATTGTGATTTTTTATAACAGAGAATATGGTGTTGTGAGTATTTGGGGAAAATATTTCATACATTCTTGCAGAACAGAGTGAATCAAATTAAGGGAATTCAATAGGCCTAAAATAAGTATCCCTGGCCTAATCTGGTATTTATAGAATGTACACTTATTTCTTAAGATATGTATAAAGTGACGTTTACCCCTATTTTTAACTATCCCAGTTCTTATTTCGATTAAATTTTGATATACATGTACGGCATTCATATATACCATCCATTCATGTTTATTATGTTCTAGGTAGCTTCGGCTGTCGGTTACGCGTTAGAGTCAACATTAACAGCTGATGTGATCGCTGCAATACATCTGGGAGCAATGGACCTCCTTCACAATGGAAACGTATCAGAGGGACTCGAAAACATCGTGAATGGATATTACAATAAACTGCGCGGGTTGACCCCAGCATACATTCTGTTAATGATGAGCGCAGCCTTTTGGACGTTGTTTGCACTGTTCATGTTATTTTTCCTGCAGTTAGGAAACAATGTGGAAGGCACGTGGTCTGATGGTTATGCGTTAAGCTATGTAGGGACAGTGATTTACTATGTTTCTTTCGCCTGGATTTTTAAAGCTTTGTTTAATCTAATGGCTTTTGTTGAACATTTTGCGCAATGGTGGCACGTGGTTTTTGGAACTCTAGTAGCCCTGGGTCTAATAGGGTCAGGTGTGGTTTGGATGATGTTGTAAAATATTGACTCGTTTGTATCCAGCGATTCTTTACATAAATTCTATTCGTTTTAACGCATCTGTTCTCTTCGTTGCTATTTACCAATGTTTAGCTTCAGAAAATGTACCTCTCCGAATATGTTACTTTAAAATGTAGTCTACAAGGAGTAGGGATGAAAAAAAAGATGATTAGTTTTTATGAAAACAATTTCAGGAGGGAGGTTACCCGAAGATTATGAACAGACGGTGTACTCTTTAAAAAATAATTATCTATACAAATTATGTGACATTGATAAATACAGGGTGGTCCAAAAAAATGGGACACTCGTATTTCAAAAATAAATATTGATTTTCTTGACGAAAACATGTCATATTATATATTATTTTATACCACTCTAAGTCCGATTACAGTTGTATAACATGGGTCTATAACAACGATATACAGTGGAGAGTGGTATATCGTCATCGTATACACTCCACCGTATACACTCCAGCGTATACCACTGTAGAAGTGCATTCTGGGAACTAATGAATATTGACCGAAGAACGAGGTGTATGTTTTGTTACACATGATTTCCTAGAATCAAGTGACGTCATAAATGGTTCCCACATGATTTGCTAGAATCAAGTGACGTCATAAATGGATCGAGATCAACATCGGCATTACTGAGTTGGCTACGGGATATTTTTATGGTTTTTATAATTGTTATGATTGTGTTTGAATCAACTGTAGATTGAACTTAGAGTGGCATAATAAGATTATATAATGGTTCAATCTGTATATCGTGCATTTTATACTCTCGTGAGAATATGATATATTCACTCGTTCGCTACGCTCACTTGTGAATATATTATATACTCACTCGAGTATAAACACGATATACAGAATGAACCATTATATAACCTCATAATATACCCAATATGTAACACTAATCCTGATTGGTCAATACCTAGTCACGTGCTCCGAAATAGATTTACTATTTCCCTCGGAAAGTTATATTCCCTCAAATGTGACGTCAGCGGGAATATACATTTGAACTATTGCCCGCTGACGTCACGATTGCAACTTCTATTACCCTTGGAAACGTCTGCGCATCATCACTGCGCAGACGAAAAACAGAAAAATGGAGGATGAGCACAAACACAAATCAACTCCGTTAACCATGACAGACGTGCGTGAACGATACAATATAAGCAACGTGTATAAAGTTCCCTAAGCTCAATACGTCTGTGTAATTTCAAGTGTTATGATAATCTATTCCGCGTGTTAAACGCGATTGAATTTGTCAAGTGAGAGTCTCAGAGGCAAACATTTCTGTTGAGCATCTGATGACGTCACAGCTTATAATGCTAACAATGGACCCGGGGAGGGGGCTTTCTAAGCCTTTTTGGCCTTCGCAGAGGAAACGGGACAAGAGTCAGTATAGGGTATGTAATAAAACAAATAGTGACTGCCTAATTTCGAGCAATAGTGTAAATGATTTCCCCTTGGGAATTTCCTCTACAATGTACTATTCCTACGGCTTCGGGAATAGTACATTGTAGAGGATATTCCATCGGGGAAATATTTTACATTATTATATACCTCAAATGTATTCTAGATGCTCACTGGCTTATTCATGGTCACATGACATGGAATAGATGAACTAATTCCCTGGAAAGTCCTAAACCCCTGCTTTCAGGGAAGATGAATTGTACTAATCACCAGTTAGGTCATGTGACCAGTCAATAGTACGTTTTATCTTCCCCCAAATCTGAGATTATAGGAGTTGAAAGGTAAAATGCCTTTAAATGCCAATAAGAACCTGTGAACATTTGATATTGAAATGAAAAGACTTCTCATTTTGTTTTTGTTTACAGAGTACTTATCAGGTATATAATAAAACAAATAGTGACTGCCACATTTTCGGGAAATAGTGTAAAAATTTTCCTCTCGGGAATATCCTGTCCACTGACTTGTTCCCTCGGCCTGCAGCCTCGGGAACATGTCAGTGGACAGGATATTCCCTTGAGGAAAATATTTTGCACTATTTCCCTCAATGGCAGTCACTATTTGTACACTATTGCCCTCAATGGCAGTCACTATTTGTATACCAATGGATAGGGAATTCACTCATCTTTAATTTGGTATATCATAAGTGCAAATTATGTCTGTCAACCAGCGTCCATAATATAAATAACGTCATTTTCGTTTTAAAACGGGTTTTCCAAAACTTGCAAAAAACACGTTTTATTGTCAACTTCATTTACCTAAACAGACGTTCCATGTTTAACATACAGACCTTCAATATGTCCACCATTTTGATCAATTGTAGCCCTCAATTTTGGCCTAAACTGGTCAATAGTATCATTGATATGCTGCTGAGACAATGAATTTCACTTCTCAACAATTCTATCCTTAGTAAAGGACTGAGTAGATGTAAGGGGTCCATGTTAAACCAATTCTGTTAGTTCTCCCAATATGTGGTTGTCGCAGACCTTGATATCGGATGATCCAATGTTTTTGGACCATTCTGATATGAGCTCATTTTGGAATCATTACATTTTCCAACAAGATGGGGCTCTAAGCAATAGATCCCACAAGAGTGCCAAATGGTTAAAAGAAAATGTGCCAAGATTCATCCCCCTTAATCACTGCTTACCCAGATCACCCAATCACCCAACCTTTACGACTACCACGTATGGGGAGAACTAACAGAATTAGTGAACCATAAATCCTTTACATCTATTCAGTCCCTGAAGGACAGAATTATTGAGAGGTGAAATTCATTGTCTCAACAGCATATCAATGATACTATTGACCAGTTTAGGCCAAAATTGAGGGCTACAATTGATCAAAATGGTGGACATATTGAAGGTCTGTATGCTATTGACCAGTTTAGGCCAAAATTGAGGGCTACAATTGATCAAAATGATGGACATATTGAACGTCTGTTTATGTAAATAAAGTTGACAATAAAACTTGTTTTTTGCAAGTTTTGGAAACCCCGTTTTGAAAGGAAAATGACGTCATTTATATTATGGACGCTGGTTGACAGACATTATAATAAATTTGAATTTATGATATACCAAATTAAAGATGAGTAAATTCCCTATCCATCGGTATATAATATGACATGTCTTCACCAAGAAAATCAATATTTATTTTTGAAATACGAGTGTCCCTTTTTTTGGACCACCCTGTAGTTTTGTCACTTACGTTTTTCTTTTTCATTGTTTCGGGTCATGTATTTTTGGATAAACAAATAATTTGGTTTTAAAGTAACATACCTCCTTTCAAGAATACCTCCTTTGAGAGTAAATTAAACATATCGTACATTGGCTGGTGATAGCACAATTCAACCTTCATTAAGTAAGCATTTTTACTGAGTTTGGAAAAAGTTTTCAGGGCATTCTATGAAATGCAGATCTACACAATATCCAGATTCTATTTCCCCAGTATTCCTCTCATTGCTTGCCCAACATATCCTCAAGAGAATAATGTATTGGTAATACTATTTTGAGAGAAAATGTAAAATATAATCTCTGGCTTAATATGTGTACTTAACGAAACAAGCAATGACTTGTTGTTTGTATAGAGTGAATTAGTTCATTGATAGGTCCACAAGAAGCACAATTAAACACTCTGAGTTGTGATATTGCGAACACGATATGTTTTAGACATTACGTTCGCTTTGAATATAAAAGATAAACTTGCAACGTAGGTCTACATCGGAAATGAGCAGTGGAAAGGAACGACGAGTATAATTTATGGTTAAATAAAATGAAAGAGTTAGCATTCATAAATAAACAGTAAACTCATGTGTAAGTGGTAGTCAAAACATATGCTTTAAAACGTACAGTTGTGCGATACCAGAACTATGGTATGTTCAAGAATCACATATCTAATCGGAGTTGGACTAACTCTACTGAGTACTTTAGATTTCTATACAATAAAAGCAACACCAACTGATGCCGATTTCAAGCGACTAACAAAAATGTTAAATAAACTTTCAAAAAATGATGGGGAACAACAACGTGATATAGAAGACCAAGCAAAGAAAATAGCTGTCTTGGAAAGAAGTGCCATTAAACTGGAAGTTCTTGTTGAACAGTTGGAAGAAAAATATGAACAGTTGGAAGGAAAATGTGAACAGTTGGAAGAACAATATGAACAGTTGGAAGGAAAATGTGAACAGTTGGAAGAGAAATGTGATGAAAAATGTAAGGGAATCCGTGGGAAGCGTGGATTTCGAGGGCCAAAGGGTGATGAAGGTAAAACCGGGTCCACTGGTGCTTCTGGGTTAAATGGTACGAAAGGAGATAGTGGGTCAAAAGGTTTCCCTGGTTATAAAGGTGATCGTGGACAAATTGGTCATGTTGGTCCATCTGGCGCAAAGGGTGATCCAGGGCCAAATGGTGCTCCTGGGTTAAATGGTAAGGACGGCGAGAGAGGACCAAATGGTCTTCCTGGCGCAAAAGGTGACAAAGGTGCAAAAGGTGACAAGGGTGATCGAGGGCCAAATGGTGCTCTTGGGTTAAATGGAAAGGACGGCGAAAGAGGACCAAATGGTCTTCCTGGCGCAAAAGGTGACAAGGGCGATCGAGGGCCAAATGGTGCTCTTGGGTTAAATGGAAAGGACGGCGAAAGAGGACCAAATGGTCTTCCTGGTGCAAAAGGTGACAAAGGTGCAAAAGGTGTTAAGGGTGATATAGGGCCAAAGGGTGGACTTATCAAAGGCGCACAAGGGCCACCTGGGCCTGCTGGACCAAAAGGTGACACGGGCGATCGAGGGCCAAATGGTGCTCCTGGGTTAAATGGAAAGGACGGCGAAAGAGGACTGAATGGTCTTCCTGGTGCAAGAGGTGACAAAGGTGCAAAAGGTGTTAAGGGTGATGTAGGGCCAAAGGGTGGACTTATAAAAGGCGCACGAGGGCCACCTGGGCCTCCTGGACCAAAAGGAGGAAAGGGTGATCGAGGTTTTAAAGGCCAAAAGGGTGAACCGGGAAATATTGCAGACAGTAAGTATATATTTAAAACTTATGCGTCACATCAGTAATCTTTATGCAAATCAATTCCAGGGACGTTTTACCGAATTTAAAAAATGTCGAAGTCGATTGATTAGAAAAGTCGATTCCACCATGAATGCAAGACAGACGTTCTTTTTAATGCAAAATTGTATTTTCAATGAGCGCCGTTCATTTTAAAGAAAATGAAAATGTATGACGCAAACTATAATGTAGCTCAGTAGCATACAAGTGCCATATATTTTTTCGTAAACACTGTAGATTTTTTGTATTGAAGGATTTTGAAAGAGTTTGGAGGGCAAAATGACTGCAAAATGCACAACGTCTATGGGCTGTTGACCTGTTAATATTTTCCATTTTATCAGAATAGTAACTCAGAAATTATCAAATTGAAAAGCTAATACGTAAAGTTAGGGCCTACGTCCAAGAGTATAGGTCCTGTGTTTGGCATCAACACTTGACATTTATTTTCTTCTATTTTCTTTGTCGATGTAGCTTTGTAAAATATATCACTCAACAGGTTGTCAATGGACGCCATGGTCGGCGTGGAGTATTGGTAAATGTTCTAAGCCATGTGGAACTGGGACACGTCGCAATGTACGAACTAGGAAATATACACATTGCGTGTCTGGTACATCGACAGAAACCAGGAGCGAACCATGTAACACGGTTCCATGCTGTAAGTAACACCCCAGTCACATTTGTCGCACGGCGGCCGCAAGTCGACCGCAGATCAATTAAATCGGTGAATTTCTGCGGCGAGCGTAGAAAAACTACGCTCGCCTTGCGGCCTCCGTACGGCGTATGCAGATTTTTACAGGCCGCAGGGAAGGCGTAGAAAATATAACTCGGAGTTATAATATTTGTTCATTTCTGAGGTCCCCGTAGAAATCAACTGGCTAAACAAGATTGAATCATTATTTGTCAATGTTTCACGATCACTTTTCATTTGATATTACCGTACATCCTAGCACTATGAATAACATTTATAAATTGTCCCGATGTAAATAAAATGAAAAAAGTATTATTTATCAACAGCAATTTAAAATTCACCGTGCGGCTGCCGTGGGAAATGTGACTGCAAAAGTATGAGAGAGCAGAAATTCCACGGCGAGCGTAGAAATATTACTGGCCGCAGAAATGATAGACCGCAAGGTCGCCGTAGGAAATGTGACTGGGCTGTAACGATATATTCTTGTTCTTGCATTAATTCAGTAACCTATATTGATGTTCACATTTTGTCACGTCCACAGTCGCTAGCTATAGGCTAATTGTGATATTGAAGTATTCAACCATTAACCACACTGAATTCAATAATGTCAATTAAAGCCTCTCGGACACACAGTGTCGACTTAACTTTTTTCATCACTTTCATTTTTCACTAGTTTAGGTTCAGCCAAAAAATTGAACTCTCCAAAGCTCTCCAATCAAGAAAGTATATTCATTTTTTGCTAGCCCGAAAAATGGTTATTTAGAAGTAGGGGAGACCCACCACAGATACGCTGATTTCCGATAATTCGTGATCAAGCTAGCAGGTGCTTATATTTACAAAAAGAAGATTGCTTTCAAAGTCCATATGTGGTGCAAGTGTGTTTAAAGGGTAACACATATATCGTTTAGCAAACCAAATGTTTGTTGTTGGTGTTGGTCACCGTTTAGTATAAAAGGAACGATCCCTTTATGGCATTTTCGCTACAAGAAGTCTCGTTGATGTATGCAAATCTATCATGGCTGGGGCAGCAAGCCAATTGCCATTTCTGTCCATCTCTGAGTATATACAAGTAGCTTCAAGAAATAGTTCTGATGGTCTTACAGATGCAACGTAAAGCGTCTGCAAAAATGCCACCCACTCAAACACGTTTGCGATCGATGATCATAATTCTTAAAAGTAACGATGTGAAAATAAAGTTCAACATTCACGATCATAATCAACAGATCAGTACAATTATGAAAGACGAAAGTGTCAAAGAACAATTAGATTTATGGCATGTGATTAAAGGTGTAATGAGAAAGTTGAGTAAAATCAGCAAAGGTATCCTATCATGAACTGTGGTGGAGATGAAAATCATCTTACTGGCAATCTTGATGCCATCCCCCTACATCATCAAAGTAACCACGACAATTTCCAATTAAGTTAACCATGTAACAAAACAGAAGATATCTACCCTCGTGAGTAACTAGTATCCTGACAAGCCCACATGCTATTCGTCTTCCCTGTGATTTTGTCACAGAATCACTCGTATACAAAAAGCCACATCTTGTTTTGTCTGGCCTTTCAACGTACTATATCGAGGCGGCGAATGGAGCACTCCGCTCATTTGCACCAAAGAAACATGCATTCTGCGAATTGGCTTATAAACTGAGGTTCTGGACTGGAACGAAAATGTTAATAGAAACCAACATAGGGTACCAACGCCCAATGACAAAGGCCTTGAAAATAAGAAAATGTCCAAAAAACGTCAAATATTTAAAAGAATTTTGGCTGCAATTTTTGGTTATACTGAACCATATAATGTTATAACTGTAAACGTCGCTATGAACAGTAAATGCATGTCTGTTTAACTTGACAGTGTATTATTTTACATGCATACATGCATCAATACATATTTTTTATCAAATATGAAATGATTTTGTATTGTATTTATCTATGATATGAGGTACCTATTCCTTATAATCCCAAAAGTAATTACGTACATTATAGTACAAAAAAAATGTGTTTCCCCATAAATCAATAAATGAGACTAGAGGAGGCGTTCAACATGTTCGAGTCGGGTGGTAAATGTTCTCTGTCATCGAACTTTAAACTGTCCGCACAAATGTAATGTACAATTACTAATTCATGCAAGCCCAAATTATAAAAATAATACATAAATAGCTTATGATGAACAAATGACCCAGATCCAAGAGTCTAAACGCGTATCAAATGCGAAACGTACTTTTGATAAATAAACGGAAGATAAAAAACCTTGGCCTTGAATAATCGAACAACCCCTTTTCTAATAATCAACCAGTCCATTTAGCCGCCATTTTGTTTTCGTACGGAAAACTATACGTCATCTTTTAAGGATTCGAGATTGGCAATAAGCTCTGTTAAATTAATAAAAGGGTTCATCCTACACTTAGTCTACTAAATGTATAATAACATTAAAAAATAAATTTGATATTTATTGGCAAAATGAATATCCGGAGGATATCGTAACGATATACTCCGGGCGGAGGATATCGTGACGATATACTCCGGAAAACCCAATATGCGGAGGATATTGTGACGATATACTTCGCTTGTTGATTTCCCGCCAAATTGACTCTATTTGGCATGGAATTCATTTTGCAATGATAGTATACATTTAGTACACTCCTTGTAAGTGTAGGATAATAAGAACATCCTATGATTTTTTTCAGAATATCATTTTAATCTACTCGGTGATATTGATATATGCACTCGTTCGCTTCGCTCTCTCGTGCAGATATCAATATCACCTCGTAGATAAAAATGATATTCCTCAAAATCATAGGATATCCTATAAATATCTACCCTATACAGACTGTGCTGTACGAAAACAAGCGGTGTGGATATCATAAACCGTTTAT